CCACTCACCTTGGCCTCCCAAAGTGCTGGGATTACAGGCTGAGCCACCAAGCCCGGCCAGAATTTTTTTTTAAAGGCAAGCAGAGGCCAGGCTTGGTGGTTCAGCATGTAATCCCAGCTCTTTGGGAGGCTGAGGTAAGTGGATTGCCTGAGCCCATGGGTTTGATACCAGCCCGGGCAACTTGGCAAGACCTCATCTCTACAGTAAAAATCAAAAATTAGCTGGGCATGGTAGAGCGTGCCTGTAGTTCCAGCTACTTGGAAGGCTGAGGCGGAAGAATTGCTGGAGCCCAGTTGGTTGACACTGGGGTGGCCGTGAGTGTGCCACTATGCTCTAGCCTGGGCAATGGAGTGAGACTCCAACTCAAAAAAAAAAAAAAAGGCAAGCAGAAAGGAAAAGATAAAACTCTGAAGAAGAGGTAAGAGTAGACTTTGCATTTAAGTATTCAATAATCCAAAGAAGACAACAAGACAGAGGAAAAACAACAATTAGACAACTATCAGAAGAGAATATACCTCAACTGAGAAAAGGTTTGAGGCTTTAGAGAGAAAAAGCTCACAAGAAGCCTAAGAAGTAATCAAAGAAAAAAAAAGACATCGGATGTCTTGATCAAATTAAGAAACTGTAAGGAGAGAGACAGAGTGGGAGAGAGAACGAACTCAGGTTATAAGCTTCCAGCTGTAAAGAATGAATTTCCTATAAAGGGAAAATAATCAAATTGACTTTGGAATTCTTATCTGCAATATCCCAAGCTATACAAAAAACAAAACAAAACAGAAACAAGTGCACACAGTATCTACAGACTAATGAAAGAAAAGAAATACTACCCAAGAATTGTATGCCCAGCTAAATATCATTTCCTCTGCCAGAGGAAAAGATGATATTCAATAACTAAATCACACTACTCAAATATACCACCTCAGGAAAATATGGTGGAGTTCACAATCTTCACTATCGTACATGTGGCTCTGAATAGGAGACTGGCTGAAAAAAACAGAAGTACAATGACAAGATGGAGTACTATGCAGTTAATAAAAAGAATGACTTTGTTATAATAAATGACACAGAGCTGTATCTAAAAAAAAAAAAAAAAAAAAAAAAAGAAAGAACTGTATATATCCCATTTTTCTGCAAAATAAAAATACACCCCATATATGTCTACATAAATCTATATAGAATTGTAGTACGAAAGAACACATAATAGGTTAACAACTCAGATTGTGGCAGGAGAGGTAAGGGATGGCAAATAAGGTACTAATGTGGAAAAGCAGATTTCTATGATAACAGCATGCTGAACATCCCATTATGTAAAATTATATGTGTCATAAAGAGATACATTGAAGAATGTTCACCAAAATATTAGTGGTATTATAATATCTGATCATTACTTTCCTTTTTAGGTTTTTATGTTGTTTGAATTATTTACAGTGAGCATGTATATTTACATAGCTAGAAAGTAAGCATTTTGGAAACAGACTTTTTTCTTAAAATTAAAAAAAAATTCTAATTTTTTTTTTTTTGAGTTGGAGTCTCACTCTGTCACCCAGACTGGAGTGCAGTGGCCGCTCCTGGCCACCGCAGCCTCGACCTGCTGGGCTCCAGAGATCCTTCCTCCTCAGCCTTCCAAGTAGCCGGAATTACAGGCATGCGCTACCACGCCCGGCTGATTTTTTGATTTTGTAGAGATGAGGTCTTGCTGACCAGGTGGGTCTCGAACCCGCGGGCTCAGGCAATCCACTCACCTCAGCCTCCCAAAGGCGCAGGATTACAGGCTGAGCCACCGAGCCCGGTTGAAAAATTCTAATTTTAATAGTTTTTTCAAAGGTCAAATACATCCTTACCAAAGGGAAAAAGAGAATAGAATGGTCTGGGCTTAAGAAAATTAACTATTTGAAGGTATTAGAAGAAAACACAGACACTGGTCTGGGTGATGATTTTTGGGGGGATATGATCTCAAAAGCACTAGCAACAAAAGCAAAAAAACAGACAAATGGAATTACATCAAACTAAAAAGTTTCTGCACAGCAAAGGAGACAATTAACAGGATGAAGAGATAACCTACAGAATGGGGCAAATATTTACAAGCTATAGATCTGATAAGAGACTAATATCCAAAATATACATATAAGGAACTCAAACAACTCAGCAGCAAGAAAACCCAACTACAAAATGGGCAAAGGATCTGAAAAGACACTTCTTAAAAAAAGACATACAAATGGCCAGCAGGCATATGAAAAAAACGCTCAACCTCACTAATCATCAGGGAAATGCAAACTAAAGCAACAATGAAATAACAGCTCACAGTGTTGGTGAAAATGTAGAGAAAAGGGAACCCTTGCACATTGTTGGTGGGAATGCAAATTAGTAGAGCCATTATGGAAAATGAAAGTTCCTCAAAAAATTAAAAATAGAACTACCACATGATCCAGCAATCCACTACTGGCCTTATATCCAGAGGTATGTCAAAGAGATATTTATGTACACTCACATGTTTACTGGAGCACTATTCACAATTGCTAAGATATGGAGTCAACCTAAGGGTCCATTAATGGATCAATGGACGAAGAAAAATGTGGCATATATACTCAATGAAATACTATTCAGCCATAAAAAAGAAGAACGTTCTATCATTTGCAATAGCATTGATGAATCTGGAGGGTATTACGTTACGTGAAACAAGCCAGTACAGAAAGACAAATACTGCATGATCTCATTCATATATGGAATTTGAAAAAGCTGATCTCACGGAAGTAGAAAGTAGAATGGTTACCAAAGGCTGAGGTGGTTGATGGTTAGGGGGTGGGGAGGTAGGTACTTGGGAAGACATTGGTTAAAGCCCATAGCATTTCAGTAAAATAGGAGGAACAAGTCCAGAAATCTTATTGTACAACATAGCACCTAGAGTTAATATATTGTGTTTTTGAAAAATGCTAAGAGAATGGATGTTAAGTGTGCTTACCATAAAAATGATAACTGTGTGAGGTAATGTACATGTTAATTTGTTCATTTCCGCTGGGCTCGGTGGCTCAGTCTGTAATCCGGCGCTTTGAGAGGCCGAGGTGAGTGAATTGCCTGAGCCCGCAGGTTCGAGACCCGCCTTGGCAACTTGGCGAGAACTCATCTCTACAATAAATCAAAAAAATTAGCTGGGTGTGGTAGCGCACGCCTGTAGTTCTGGACACTTGGAAGGCTAAGGTGGAAGGATGGCTGGAGCCCAGCAAGTCGAGGCTGCGGAGGCCGGGAGTGGCTACTGCACTCCAGTCTGGGCAATGGAGTGACACTCCAACTCAAAAAAAAAAAAATTTTGTTCATTTCCACAGTGTACATAAGCTGCAAAACAATATGCTGTACATGGTAAATACATACAATTTTATCTGGCAGTTGAAAAATCAATTATAAAAGCAAGTATATGGAAAACATTAAGTTGGAAGGTGAAACATTTAGCTGATATCAGGCCTAACCCTTAAACACTTAAAAACTCAACAACTGGATACTTGGTATTTTTTTCCCCTCCCCTCCCCTCCCCCCATACTTGATATTTAAGCTCATAAAAACCTCTTTTACATGTCTGCTACTAAGAATAAGGAAGAAAGGGAATATTCAGATTAGCTTCATGATAGTCATTCATGGACTGACACAAAAGGAGACAATAAAATAGAAATTTTATGACAACATTTTATGTTTAGCTAGATTCTCTGCCAGGACATTTTCTGCTTGAATGAAGGAAGCAAGATTTGGTCACATTTTAATGAGTTTCATAGAAAGGGAGATCAAGCATGAATGTAAGCTGCCTTCTGACACTAAAAAAAAGCAAACATGGAATTTTTGCCAAGTTAAAAGCCTCTTGTGACATGTTCTTTGACTTGTAGGAGACACTGAGTCCAAACATGTTTAACAGAAAGCTAGACAATAGTCACTTAAAAAAAATCACTGCAAAATGTAAATACATGAATAAGAAAGAATAAAATAAGTTGGGCGTGGTGGCTCAGGCCTGTAATCCCAGCACTTTGGAAGGCAGAGGTGAGAGGATTGCCTGAGCTCAGGGGTTCAAAACCAACGTGAGCAACATGGCAAGAAGTCATCTCTACAATAAGTAAAAAAATCAGCCGGGTGGTTCCAGTTTCTTGGAAGGCTGAAGCAGAAAGATAAGGATCACCCGAGGCCAGCAGGTCGAGGCTGTGGCCGTGAGCGAGCTACTGCACTCCAGCCTGGGCAACAGAGACTCTGACTCCAAAAAAATAATAATAATTCTGATGTTGCCATGTCAACTACTATTTTTAATGTAATCATCCTTGGTAAAATCATTCTGATGGTACAGCCAGCTGATAACCTCCACTTGCTGATCCTCTGAGATTGCATCTTACAGTTCAGAAAATCTGCTCAAGGTCCCAACTGAGGTGTAATAACTCATGTCCTCATATTACAGCAGTAGTGGCCCCAGGCCACAGCAAATGGGATCAAAGGACATATTTTGATTAATAAACTATATAGAAGTCTGTTTTAGGACTTCATGCAAATATTAACCTCATTTTAAAACATGAGGGAAAAATTATCCAAACTGAGGACTAATTTAGTTGTGGAATAGACCAGACAGTTAAAAAAACAAAAACCCACACAAACATTTCCACCTAAAAAGATTCATCATCAATAGAGAAAAAAGGTACTAAAGGTTAACATTCATCCTTCCTCATCACTGCTGCTCCAGGCATCTTCAAAAGCTGGATTTAACTGGGATTTTGTTGTAGTCTAAAAAAAGAAAAAGAAAAAGGAAGATTCTATCTTTCTACTTCAAAATATAGTTATGGAATATACCAGGTGAATAGCAGTTACATTATTTTTAAAGAAACTGTATAATTGTTAATTTCACAACAAAAATAATGCAAAAAACACCACATACAATATAATACAGATTCATTTTAAACAGACATACCAGCCTTTATCCAAATAAATACATATATACCACAATGCTGCTATTGCTCAAGGTATTTCTGTAACTCTTTGGAATTTCCTGGAGAAAGTGACATACTGACATTCATGGGCTAAGACTGAACTCCAGGTGTCTGACCTGGCAGTTCAAGAAATTAACGTTGGTAACTCTTAATTGTTTGGGTGAGACTGACTTTTATAAATTAAACAAATATCCAAAGATGGGGAATGAGGTGTTCATCAAGCTGAGTAATACCATTTTTAGTTCAAAAAGTACTGTGGGTTATTAAGTACTGAGGTTTATCTACTTATTTTTACATGGTTGATAAAGTAGTGTAGTAACCCATCCAAAATAAGTCATATACAGTCACATGCTTGTAATCAGCACACTAGGGAAAATTTAATTATCTGTGGTGTTTCAAATCAATTCACTTTTTTGGTAAAACTTCTGAATGGCTACCTTCTTATTCTCTGGCAAATAACTAAAAGGGCTTTAAGATGATCTTCTATCTATCTATCTATCTATCTATCTATCTATCTATCTATCTCGACAAGATTGATCTTCTTTCTATCTATCTATCTATCTATCTATCTATCTATCTATCTATCTATCTATCTATCTATCTATCTATCTATCTCGACAAGATATTGCTATATTGCCCAGGCTGGTCTCTAACTCCTGGGTTCATGCAATCCTCCTGCCTTGGTCTCCCAAAGTGCTGGGATTACAGACATGAGCCACTGTGCTTGGATAAATGGTCTCATTTTTAAAGCAACTGGGCATTATGAGCCAGGTTTGCTTCTTATTTTACAGTTTTCACATTTGCTACAAGTTTATTTAGATCCACAGCTAATAAGGTATTAGCCTCAAGACTACTCTTAAAGTATCTTAGATATATTTATTGCCTTTTACAACTTAATAAATTTAAGTAGAAATATATATATATATTTTTTTGAGTTGGAATCTCACTCTGTCACCCAGACTAAAGTGCAGTGGCTGCTCCCGGCCACTGCAGCCTCGACCTGCTGGGCTCCGGCGATCCTTCCGCCTCAGCCTTAGAAATATTTTTTGTTAAGGGCAATCCCCTATTGCATATCTAAGAATGCTCATTTCCCTTTTTGATGAACATTATGACTTAGAATCTTACACTTCAAACAATGAAAACAGTAGAAAAAGTGAGTGTTCCCAGTAAATTTCCTGAATATCAGGTAGGATAAGTGGAAAACAATATATTAACTTAAGTATTCTTTATAGTTGTTGAAACAGATCAGAGTATATTACTAAGCCTAGTGTCAGCTGTTGTTACCTAAGTGTACAACCAAAATTCCATATGCCACAAATGTCCAGATGCAAAATTGTGATCAAACTTCAGCTAACTACTGATTAATTTCTAGTAGCAGTCCACTTATTTGCAACAGTAGCATATCGAAGTCTGTTAATCTATTCTTTCATCTAAACATTTACTGAATCTCTTGTCTTTTTGAGTTTCCAATTTAACTACAAAATTAGGTTATCTGGTGAGAGTGTATTCAAAGATTTATTGTCATTGGGGGTTAAGTGACTCCTCTTCCTACTCTGTCTTTAGAAGCCTTTAACATTGCCTTAGATATTACCCAAAGATATCTCTGGGTGGATAACCCACACGAAGGTCATGCCTCCTAATCCTACTATGGAAGCCAATGTGTAAACTGTTAAACTTTTTAATTTCAGTTAAAAACTCAACACAAAAGCAAAATTAATTTCATTATAAATTTTTTGCTGTGGTGAGTAAAGAAAAATAAGTGAAAATCACAATACAGTTGCATATAAATTATTTTACTGCTTTTAGTGAAACAAATATGAATGCATTACAGTGTTATAAATATACTTTACTGCTAAAACAATCACAAATAAGATATAGTTAAGAACTGCAGTAAAGATGCAGATGAATGTAGTACACATTATTACTCCAGTTTCCTCTACAACATCTCCCTCTGGTGGACATCCAGTTCGTGCTTGAACATAGTCTAGCTCACCCGGTCACCAGTTCTACTGACAGTTGTAAATGTTACGGAGGTGAGGAAATATGGGCTTAGAGGTACCTAGTACAGGTCCAAATAATGCGAAGGAGGAATAAAACCAAACTTAACACCTACCAGGGTACATCTGATAACTTTCAAATTTTTGACTGGTGATTACTGAAAAGTCTCAGGGTTTGTGTCAACAAGTGATCATACATCTACAGAAGAGGTAAGTAAAACAGACTTGTATTGTGTGAATGTCAAAATAAAGTAAGATTCTTGATGAGGGTCAGATTTAAACTGCAATATGTCTGCCCTATAGATTTCAGGCAGGAAAAAGTGATCAGGAGTTATGGATAGGCTTACCTTGACTATGACCAAGTTTAGGAAGTAGAGACAAAAGTAAACCACATTCCTCAGTATAATGAAATATAATATAATGAAACAGCTTGTCAGTTAGATAATAAGACTTGTGCTTAAGTACCATAAATCCTGTCCCTATCATCCAATGCCCTTTCTTTCTTTAGATAGAATTAAATTCCTCTTCAACTTTGACTATCAGGAGAAACACCCCTACATGATTATATCTTAATTGATGGGAGATAAATCTCATCTGAAGAGTGGGTTGAAAGGAAACAATAATAGCTTTGGTTTTCCAATTCTGATGTTTGGAAATATTATAAACTTTTTCCAGATCAAAGTTTCATGAATGGCAGAACTACGATTCAAACTCAGGTTTACCTAAAGCTAAGGTCTAAGTATGTGTGTGTGTATACGTATATGTGTTTTGCTTTGTACTCTGCTATGCTGTCTCCTTGGAAAACTGCAAGTCATTTATTTGATAGTTGAGATATAAACACTTTTAAATATGAGTTAAATTATAAACATACATGCAAGGAATAGGACCTTGTTCAGAAAGATTTCTCTACTGGGATCTGTATTGGGATCACATTCATGTTCTACCTACATTCACAGAAATCTTTCAAATTAAAGTTTTATGGAAATAACCTGAGCACATACCATTTTATATTAATATGAGAATGACTACTATCTTAAAGCTAAAGCATCTGAACAGTATATTTTAAAAGGTAAGATTTGTAGCTCTAAAATGAAATATGAGGGGGGATCCCCCCCCAAAACTGGATTTATCTTTTAGAGGGTAGGCCTCTTGTAGTCATGCTTCCCCCACTAGGCAAGTGTTCTAGGAACCCATTGGAATTAGTGGACCAGCTAGTGTTGTTGTGAGAGGCTGTTTGGCTTCAGTTAAATTTTTTTTTTAAAGATTTTTTCAACACATTTGCCCATTTCATCATGGGTGATTTATGAATGCACCTGCCCACACTGTGCTGAGTGACCAAAAACTGCATGACCTCCATATGCTCCACTTTCCCTATTAACCTTATCTCACCTGAATGACTTTTTTTTGTTTCCCCAAATAAAAAAAGCCCTCAAAGGGAAATGTTTTGCTGTTGTGGAAGAGGTGAAACAAAAAATGGCAGAAGCTTTAAAAGGCATCAAAGTTGACAAGTTCAAAAACTGCTTCGAGCAGCAGAAAAAGCATCTTGATAGGTGTACTGCATTCAATGGACAGTACTTTGAAGGTGACAAGTTTAAACATAAAAGAATACACAATTTTTAGTAAATAAATTCCAAGTTTTTTGGGATACCTTCCTTGTATAAAGCTCAACTTGTTTTTTGTGTATCTCTACTTGATTTCTAAAAATTGTTTTTCTCTATTTCTCATATACAAAAGTTTATTCATTCATTCACTCATTTGGAGTTTCACTCTGTCACCCAGGCAGGAGTGGCATGATCATGGGTCACCGCAGTCTCAACCTCTTGGACTCAGGTGATCCTTCTGCCTCATCCTCCTCAGTAACTGAAATTATAGGCCCATGCCACCATGCCTGGCTAATTTTTTGTAGAGACAAGGGTCTCACTATGTTGCTTAGGTTGGTCTCAAATCCTGGGCTCAAGCAATCCTCCTACCTCAGCCTCCTAAAGTGCTGGGATTACCAGCGTGAGCCAAGGTACCTGGCCTAGTTTTTTCTAACATTCTATCTATACATAAGTCACAACAGATATGCTTTTCATTTTTTATTGTTTTCGCTTGGCAAATATAATGTTATACTTCCTAACATAGCCTATAGTGTTATAACTTGGGTTTAATGTACACAGTATTACCCAAAGAGCAGGACACAATAATTAAATAAATGCAAAATAAAATGGCTAAACCCAACTATCTGACCATATTAAACTTTTTTTTTTTTTTTTGAGACAGGGTCTCAACTCTGTTGTCCAGACTGGAATGCAGTTGCATAATCTGCTGGGTTCAAGCAATCTCCTACCTCAGATCCCAAGTAGCTGGGACTACAGGTGTGCACCACCACACCTGGCTAATTTTTTGTAGAGATGAGGTCTCACTATGTTGCCCAGACGGGTCTCGAACTTCTGGGCCAAGCAATCTTCAGTCTACCAAAGTGCTGGGATTATTGGTGTGAGCTACTGTGCTTGGCTGTATAAAGCTTTATACAGAATAATATTCTGTCATCAAAAGTAGCTGTATGCTAAAATTAATCAAGCCATAATAAACCAAATTAGATATGTGATAAAATCTCAAAGTATTCATATGATTTCTTCAAGTGGCCAGCTACTTGAAGATTTATCAACATGTATTTTTTTCTCTCTTTCTTTGGATTAAGGCCAAAATATATACAATTCACAGGCTTTACACTGCAGGAAATCATACGAGTTACGAATATAGGTGTAAAATGTCTTGTCAATAGCAACTACCCCTATAAAAATTTCTGTTTAATGTGGGTTTTGACACAGTCCTATCTTCACGAAGGAACTAATATAGTCTATGAAAAATGTTTTCTGAATGTCAAACTTGCTCTGTCAATAACTTTCATTCACTACTATGATTTGGTTAAGATTACCTTAAAGTGTTTTTAACTATATTATTTATACCTCCAACTTAAAAAATTATATAAATGTAAACATTGCTTTTAGACATTAAACTTTTTATATATTAGAAATTAAGATAAATGAGAATAACGAACAGTTTGGGAGAATAATCCTTTATAGTAAAGATACCACCTTTAGACAATCTACATATTGTTCTACTGCTTGACGTAAATGTTAAAAACATATACAGAGGCCAGAGATCACTGTCTTACTCATCTTTGCTTACCCACTGCATTTTTAAGGCTCTTTATTCACATCATCATGTTTATACTCTATTCTCATTTATGCTCTATGATAGTGTAAATTGGTAAAATTTGACATAAGAGCCTTAAATGTCAGGCATAATTCAAGAGATAAACTTCTAGGAATCTAGAAGTAATCCAAAGAAATAATCAGACATATGAACAATTTATAAGCAGAGGTTTACCTTGATGTTGTTTATAATAATCAATAGAAATGTCTCCAACTAGGTCAATATTTAAATTGTGGTACACATATGACAGACTACTGTATCATTAAAAATAATGCATTCACAAGGTATTAATGACAGAAAAAGGCTTGTTGTACAATGTTAATGAGAAAAGTAGGTAACAAGTTTATGCACAACCATGATACTATGTTAAAAAAAACATATATGGCTGGGCCCAGTGGCTCACACCTATAATCCCAGCACTCTGAGAGGCCAAAGTAGGAGGATCACTTGACCCCAAGAGTTTAAAACCAGCCTGGGCAACCTGGGAAATATAAGCAAGACCTTGTCTCTACAAAAATAAAAATCTTGGCCAAGCAAAGTACACTGGTAGTCCTAGCTACTTGGGAGGCTGAGGTAGGAAGATAGCTTGAGCCTAGGAGTCTGAGGTTATAGTGAACTATGATTGTGCCACTAAACTCCTGCCAAGGAAACAGAATAAGTCTGACTCAAAAAATTAAAAAAAGAAAAGCAGAAAAAACAAAAATAATGTAGAAATTTTATGTTCTTCTTTTGATGTTTTCTATATTTTTCAAATGTGTTTTAGCAGGCAAATTATTATTACAATCAGAAAATAGCAATAAATACTTTTTTTTTTTTTGAGTCAGACTTTCACTCTGCCGCCCAGACTGGAGTGCAATGGCAAGCTCACAGTTACTGCAGCCTCAAACTGCTGGGCTCAAGCCATCCTTTCACCTCAGTCTTCCACATAGCTTAGGACTACAGGCATGCAGCACCACACCTAACTAGTTTTTTGATTTATTGCTGAGACGAGGTCTTATCAAGTTGCCCAGGCTGGTCTTGAATCCCTGGGTTCAGGAAATTCTCTCGACTCCACCTCCAAAGCGTTAGGATTAAAGGCATGAGCCACCCTGCCCGGCCAGTTTTTTTGAGATAGGATCTCACTATGTTGTCCCAGCTGGTCTCAAATTCCTAGTCTCAAGTGATTCTCCTACTTCAGCATCCTAAGTAGCTGGGATTACAGGCGCACGCCACTGGATCCAGCAAGAAATGCTTTGAAAGTCTCTCTCATATAAAGTAAATGAATAAAACTTTATTTCTCATGATTTAGAAGCCATCATACAGTTTGTACAAATAATATTTACCTCATCATCATCAGGAACAGGTTCATATAAGGACGGTACCCAAGCGAGAATATTGCAGTCTCTGCTACCACTATATAGTTCCTATAACACAGAAACAAAGGTGTGATTGTGGATCAGTGTAAAGCTGGCACCAGATTGAAATGAGCTGCATGAATTTTTGAAATGATTAATTCTTAGATTAATTAGTTCTGTCTCTACTCTCTAAAGAAACTAGGTTGATGCCCTTTTTTGTTTCTTAAGATGTGGCAAAGCTTTGCTTCATATTAAAAAATGGTATTAGGATATGGCAGAGCTTATTAATGGTGTGAAAATTTCACAAAAACACTCAATATTGTAGTGGTCTTATCATTCATAGTATCTACATATTTCTAGAGTCAGAAAAAGAAAAAATGGATTAAAGCGTTTATTTCTGTCAATAACTGAGCTTTAATAAAAGCATAAATGAAGAAACCATATGAACTTCTACTAAAATAGGCCAAAAATTCACAAAAGTTTTGTTTAGCTTACAGCTACCTAAATGGCTGCCATTAACCAGAAGAGCTTGAAGACCCATACCCCATGCCTGCTGAGAAGTCTGCTTCAGAAAGGGAAGCTTGGGCTGACGTGCCGTCTATGTCAATGTCTTTATGGATATGCTGTTTGCTCATGGCTAAACAGTGCTCACTCCCCTCCCTGCTAAAACTGAAGGAATATGTTATATTGATTTTTTTCCCCTGCTGTGATATACAACTATTTATTTTTATTATTGTGCACATCAAAAATAATTTAAGGCATGGTATAATTAGTGTTTTTAATTTAAGTAACAGTTTGGGTAAAGAGAAAATAAGATACAGTCATGTATAGTAAATATAGATTAAAAATGAAGCTAAACTAGATATACATGATCAAATTTCCTAAATAAAACAAATTTTATTGACTGTAAAATCTAGAATACATGGTTATACTAACTAGGGCTGATGCAAAGATACATTCAGATATTCAGTAAGTTAGTTTCCCTGAGAAGGTAGGATACAAACTCAAGATAACTTGGGTAGATAAACTTACAAAGTAAACTGTGATAAGTATTAACGCACTAAGTGAAGACATAAAGGATACTCTGTAGATATTGAAAACAGATTGAAAGAGACAGGCACCAACATTAGAATGATTAATAAAAAACTCTCAGATCGAGGGATTTTAATGAAGCCTTGAAGTGTCTATGATAGATGTAGGGGTTTATGTGGGGAATTAGATTTTCTTAAAAAAAAAAACTCAAAGCTTAAGTTACAAGTGCAGTAGAAAAGAACTTTTTTCCTGAACCCTATGGAAGTAAGTTGCCAACATGAGGCCTTGTTACCCTTGAATAATTCAGTGTCTATTTCCTGTTAACAAGGGTACTTTTCCTGTAAAGCTACAAAGTAACCAACAAAATCAGAAAATTCACATTAATATATTACTACCATCTAATTCTTAGACCTCATTCAAGTTTCATCAATTGTTTCAATACTGTCCTTCATAGCCAAAGGGTCCAATTAAAAATCACATGCTGCACTTACTTGTCATGTCTCTTTAGTTTTCAATCTGGAACAGTTTTTCTGTCTCTCTTTAGCTTTCTTGACCTTGACAATTTGATGACATACCCTAGTTACTATGTAGAATGTTTTTCAAATTTGGCTTGTTTTACATTTCATCATGATTTCACTTGGTGAAATTTTGCAAGGAATATCACAGAAGTAATGTCTCATAACTGGGATGTTAACTTGGATTATGTGATTAAGGGGATGTAGATCAGGTTTCTTCAGGTCAAAATTACTCTTTTTACCTTTGTACTCAACATTTTGTAGGGTGATACCTTGGGACTATTTATACCAGCGTAGATTCATGGATTCCAAATCAAAGGGCTTAATTAATTATTTAATTAATTAAAGTCAGGGTCTCACTCTGTCACTCAGGCTGGAATGCAGTGGCACATTTACGGCTCACTGCAGCCTAGACCTTCTGGGTTCAGGCGATCCTTCCGTCTCAGCCTTCCAAATAGGTGGGACTACACATGTGTGTCACACCCAGATAATTTTTAAATTTGATTGTAGAGATGAGGTCTTGCTATATTGTCCAGGCTGGTTTCAGAGCAATCTCTCCTCAGCCTCTCAAAGTGCTCAGATCGTAGGTGTCAGTCATTGTGCCTAACCCTCATGACTTACTTTGATGTTGAGTGTATCTTGTCTTTTACATTTAAACAGAAATACAATTTTATTTTCAGATAGTGAGTTTTATGTAACATTTAATTTGCAAAAAGGTTCTGCTGCTAAATGGATGTAAAAGTACTACTATCTCTTACTTTTGAGATTTATAATTATGTGTATTTTCGGAATCATAAGGAGTGAAATGGGATAAGAGATGGGAGCTTTTTGATGTAATGCAGTGATTAAAATCTTTCTGTATTCATAGCACATATAGAAATGGTATTTGTCAGAGGCATCTGGCCCCAGGGTCTCTGGCTGTCTGAGAGGAATCTGTATCTTGGTACAGCTGGGAGTGATGACTAATGCCTATAAACCTAGCACTCTGGGAGGCTGAGGTGAGAGGACTGCTTGCAACAGTAGTTTGAGACAAACCTGGGCAATATGAGAGCTTGTCTCTACAAAGGAATAAAAATTAGCAGGGCATGGTGATGTGTGCCTGTAGTCCCAGCTACTTGGGAGGCTGAAGTAGAAGGATCACCTAAATCCGGGATGACGAGGTTGCTATGAGCTATGATCATGCCACTGCACTCCAGTCTGGGTGAATGACTGAGACTCAACTCACTTATTCCAATATATATCTTGGCATAACTGTAATACATTCTAGACACATCTATTAGGAAGCTCCAGTTTGGTAGAAAGAAATGATTTGTAGTCAGATTACCTGGATTAAAATTTTGACTGTGTCTCTAAGTGATATACATAAGAAAAGAAAAACAGTATTCCAAGAAGTTCTTTGAATAGAGAATCATGCTTTGTCAATAACTACTTGTAGGTTAGGGGCAAGTCATGTTACCTCTTTGGTGCTTTGGTTTTCTTCTCCCAGAAGTAACACTAAAAACATTAAACAACTAGTATAGTAGGACAGACTAATCAGAAGAGATACTGACCAGAGTCAAAGCTGGGTTTTGATGTCTCTTTTTAGTGGGTTAAGGTGAGGTCTAAAAGGTTAAAAGGAAGGGGCTGAGGCTGGAGGTCACTTAGGCAGATTGATGCAGCAGCTGTTTTACCAACCAGTAGGATACATAAATATTAATATTTGAATAATGAATGTTGCCATAATGGTGTGTAATGGCTGAAAAATCAGGCCTATATATCTTACAACATATTGTCAGGCTAAAATTAGGTAATCAGTATTAAATGAATGAATACATAGGTGCTCCACCAGGTGATAGTTAAAGTTCCTTCAAACTCTAATAATCCATAATCCATCAATTTCATTCTATTAATATTTAACTTTCATTAGACCCATTTTCCTAATCTACAAAACAGGGAAAATATCAACTATCTTGCTATATTGGACTTATTTAAAGGAACGCAAAGGGTAATGTGTGCAAATGCTTAACTCACCAGAGATTTTCAACTGCTAAATAAATGGAGTTCATACGCAAAAGAAAAAATTCATCCCAATCAAGTTGCTCAGTATTATATTCATTCATCTATCCTATGCCATCTAAAAAGCTAGGATGTATAACCCTCTACTGAATAAATCCTAGTTCAAATGTGGATTTTAAGTATAACTTCTTAGAATGAAATTGCAACTTACTCTTTCATATACAACTTGTTTGGCAAGCCAGCTATCTCAACATTTTAAATTCCCTTAAGTATCATTCTTACCTGGAAATTAGACTGAAATACACAGCAGTCAACACTTTTATAATGTCCCTTTAGCATAGTTATCTGTTCTCCTGAGTAAACGGTATAAACAGCAATGGTGCTACCATATGGTACAAAAACAAATTCTGAACTGCAGCCACAGGAGACAGTGAATTTCAATCCTTTTTTACTGTCATTATAAACTTTTCCATAGTTCACCTGTAGGATTAAAATCATGAAGTTACTCATCTCTTAAATCTGAATTAAAAAGACAACAAAGATTAGGAGAAATACTTCAAAAGTGGCACTGTAATTTGGCTATTTATTCTAAAAGGCCAAATGGTTTATTATATAATAATTATTTCCAGAATAATAATATTCTTTCTTTGGAGGAGTATATAACTTATTCTTTTGGTTTTAAAAAAATTTAATTGTGGTAGAGTACACATAGCATAAAATTTACCATCATAATCATTTTAATGCCAGTTCATGTTGTGCCACCATCATCACTATCCATCTCTAGAACTCTTTTCATCTTGCAAAACTGTACTCATTAAAACAAAGATAATCTTTACCCTTGATCTAGTAATTACTCTTGGGAATTTATCTTAAGGAAATAATTAAACAGCAAAAAGCTGTATGCCCAGAAGAGTTCAATGCAGCATTATCTAGAATGAAGAAATAACTGAGAACCGATGTATATTTCTCATAATGTCATGTTAACTCTATGGTTTATATAAATAGTAATTCTGAAAATTCTGCAGAAAACAAGGAAAAAGACTAACTATAAAAAAAGCACAGAAGCCGGGTTCGGTGGCTCAGCCTGTAATCCTGCGCCTTGGGAGGCTGAGGTGAGTGGATTGCCTGAGCCCGTGGGTTTGAGACCCGCCTGGGCAACTTGGTGAAACATCATCTCTACAATAAATCAAAAAAATTAGCCGGGCGTGGTAGCGCGTGCCTGTAGTTCCAGCTACTTGGAAGGCTGAGGCGGAAGGATCGCTGGAGCCTAGCAGGTCGAGGCTGCGGTGGCCGGGAGAGACCACTGCACTCCAGTCTGGGAGACAGAGTGAGACTCCAACTCAAAAAAAAAAAAAAAAAGCACAGAACACAAATAAGGTATATACTGTAATTTTATCTTTATATAATTATGTATTGGGGACAAAAATTAAAACTCTCTACTTGTACTTGAAAGGTGTAGTCAGCAAGCCCAGCAGTATGAGCTTCACTTGAAACAGTTACACATGCAAACTTCCAGGTCCACACCAATCCTCCCAAAAAAGAATCTTCATTTTAGCAGCATCCCTAGGTGATCTGTATATGCTCATCAAAGTCTGAGAAGCTTTAAGCTAAATAAGTTGACAGGTTTACTTCCTGCTGATAATTTTGATAAGAAGCTTACTTAGGATGAATGTAAAACCAGTGGTTAGTAATTTGGGAATCGTGATCATGCATATCAATAAAATCTCCCATCACCACTTCTTTGTAAATAGTGATTTTTTTTTCCTTTTTTTAAAAGACTGGTTGGGAGCCCAGAACTGTCTTACAAGAAATGCTAAGGGAGTTCTTCAAGTTGAAGATGGAAAAAGATGCTAATGCATAACACAAAAATATCTGAAAGTATAAAGTTTACTGGTAAAAGCAAGTAGACACATTCAAAACACGCTAATACTGTAATGGTGGTGTGTAAAACCATTAAAAATAGTGATCACTACAGTACTTGGTTAAGGAATATATAATATAAAAATGTATAAATTGTGGCACCAAAAATACAAAATAATGGAAGGATGTGAAGTTCAAATATAGAATTATTTTTAAAATCAAAGTAAAGTTGTTATCAGCTTAAAATATCTTATAACTATAAAGTGTTTTTTGTAAGCCTCATTTTAACCACAAAGCAAGAACCTATAATAGAGACACTAAAAATAAAAAACAAGGAATCAAAGCAAACTACTACTAGACAAAATCACTTAACCATAAATGAAGACAGTAAAAGAAAGGATCTACAAAACAATCTAAAAACAACATAAAATTAACAAAATGGCAGCAGTAACTTCTTAACTACTCAATAACTACCTTGCATATAAATGGATTAAATTCTTCAATCAAAAGATACAGAGTAGCTAAATAGATTAAAAAACAAATTCATCTATATGCTGCTTACAACAAACTCTCAACATCTGTAAGGGCACACATAGACTGAGAGTGAAGAGATGGAAAAATATTCCATACAAATGGAAACCAAAAGCGAGCAGGGGTAGTTATATTTATACCAAATAAAACAGACTTTAAGTCAAAACTGTAAAAAGAGACAAAAAAATTCATTATGTAATGATAGAAGGGTTGATTTAGCAAAAAGATACAACAATTATAAATATATACACTCCCAATATTGTCTCATCTAAATATATAAAGAAAATATTATATATTTAGATATACTGTACAATAACAGTAGGAGACTTCAACACTCCACTTTCAGAGGACAGATAACGTAGACATGAAATCAACAAAGAAACATTGGATTTAAACTGCACTCCAGATCAAACAGACCTAACAAACATAGAACATTCCATTCAATAGCTGCAGAATACACATTCTTCTTAATTGACCATGAAACATTCTTCAGGGTATGTTTGAGACCAGTTTGGGCAACACAATAAGACCATGTCTCTACAAAACACTTTTTTAAAAATCAGCTGATCAAATTAGCTGGTGGTATGTACCTGTAGTCCCAGCTACCTGGGAGACTGGGGTGGGAGCCCTTGAGCCCAGGAGTTTGAGGCCATAGGGAACTATAATCATGCCACTGCATTCCAGCCTAGGCAACAGAGTGAGTGAGACCCCATCTCTTAAAGTTAAAAAAAAAAGGTTAAGCTTTTATGAAGGCCTACAAAGTCTGTGGCATCCTGATCCCTCTGCTCATGATCTTATTACTCTCTCCATATTCCAACACAAGAGCTTCCTAGCAGTTCTTTGAGTATCTCAAGCATGATTTTGCCTCAGGGTCTTGGTATTTTTTCCTTTCTCTGCCTAGAATGTTCTTCCTTCCAAAACATTGGTCAGCCCCCTATTTCCTTCAGGCCAAATGTTACCTTTTTAGTGAAGCCTACCCTGACTTCCCTATGTAAAACAGCAACTTCAACATCCCAATATTTCCCACTTTCTTCTTTTCTTCATAGTACTCACCCAATCTAACATTTAATTTATCTATCTTTCTACCTATTAATTAACTGATATCTTTCATCCTCTCCCTGGAATGCAAGCTCCATGAAGATATGACTTTTCTGTGTTTTGCATACTACTATCTAATGCTGCCTGGCAACAGTAAGTGCTCGATGAGTATTTATTAAACAAATGAATAAAATGAGAAAAGAAGTGTGTGTCCTGGTCAGAGACAGTACAATATCATGAATAGAAAATTCTAAATTATATTTCACAATGCCACAGTTTCTAGCCTAAGACATGACAGACATCTCTTAAAATGAGGGATCAGCACTCTGAAGTAATCTAGACATAAACATGACCTTATAGTAATAGCAGTATTAATAATGAAAGTGGCACCTAGAGTATCTGAAAGAGAATTATTAGCTAGAAAGGATGACTAAAGAAAGGACTATGATTAATATTTTTAATTTTTTAAGTATTTTATTTTAAAGGTAAGAGGTACACTTTGGGATTAGGTATATAAGTGGACACCATACAGGTAAAGTTTGGGCCTCCACTTTGCCTGGTTTGAGATCAGGTACCCTTTTTGATGTTATGTGCCCCCCATGAGTAACATTAATACTTACATACGGGCTTTAAGGGGTCCGGGTACAGTCATTATTATAGTAAGAGTGGAATCTAGAGTCAAACTCTGTTGTTGTAAACTCAGGCAAGTTACCTAACCATTTTATTTCTAACTTCCCTCATGTGTAAAATGGGTATTATAACAGTAAGTACTGTCATAGTGTTGATATGATTAAATAAGACAGTATATGCTCCAGCACTTACATTAAATGCCAATTACTATTAGCACAGTATCTGACACATACTCTCTCAATAAGTATTAGCTATTATTATCACCAAATTATAAGCTTGGTAGTTTATTCTGAAAGTTACTAAACCATAGGTATAGCGATAAAACTGTACCATATATTAAAACAAACTAGAAATTACTTGCCAAATAAGAATCTAGTCACCTTCAAAATACATTTATTCCAGTAGTATTAAACAAAATACTATATATTCTGGTGCTATAAAATTTGTTGTGGATTTTGTTTACAAGTCATATATATAGTACAGGTTGAGTGTCCCTTATCCAAAATGATTGGGAGCAGAAGCGTTTCAGATTTTAGGCATTTTTGGATTTCAGGATATTTGCTTTACTGGTTGAACATTCCTAATCTGAAAATCCAAAATTTGATATGATTCAATGAGAATTTCCTTTGAGTGTCAGGTTGGCACTCAAAAAAATTTCAGATTATGGGGAAGCCACAGTGGCTAATGCCTATAATCCCAGCACTTTAGGAGGCAGAGGTGGAAGGATTGTTTGAGCCCTGGAGTTTGAGACCAGCATGGACAACACAGCGAGACTGCGTCTCTATTAAAAAAAAAAAAAAAAATTGGCTGGGCATGCTGGTGCATGCCTGTAGTCCCAGCCACTTGGGAGGCTAAGGCTGAGGATCTCCAGAGCCTAGGAGGCTGAGGCTACAGTGAGCCATGATTGTGCCACTGCACTCCAGCTTGGGTGACACAGTGAGATCTCAACTTAAAAAAATTTAAGTTTCAAATTTTGGAACATTTCGGATTTCAGATTTTCAGATTAGGGATACTCAGCCTGTGTAACATTTGACTACTTAGCTTTATAACTTTATATCAGTAGTTCTCAATCTTTTATTCTGCTCCAATATACTTGAGAGATACAGCACATTCCCATTAAGAACGGTGGCTCAGGCTGGGCACGGTGGCTCACGCCTATAATCCCAGCACTTTGGGAGGCTGAGGAGAGAGGGATGCCTGAGTTCTCGGGTTTGAGACTAGCCTAGGCAATTTGGCGAGACCTCATCTCTCACAAGAACTAGACAGTTGTGACTTGTTCCTAGTAAGTCTGTTACTACATCTCTATAATAAATCAAAAAATTAGCCAGGCATGGTGGCACATGCCTGTAGTTCCAACTCCTTGGAAGGCTGAGGCTGAAGGATTGTCTGAGCCCAGCAGGTTGAGGCTGTGGTGGCCGGGAGCGTGCCAGTGCCCTCCAGCCTGGGTGACAGAGTAAGACTCCAGCTCAAAAAAAAAAAAAAAGCAATGGCTCAATAAAACTGTGACTGTCTACTAAGTGGGGGAAATGTGGCAGGGTGTGATGTGGGTGAGATGTCTTGAGGTGAGAATTACCAGTTCACATAGTGGAAGACCATTTTTAAAAAAGAACTGTGATTTAAAGGGAAAAAGTGGAGTTAAATCCATGAAAAACATCAAGTGTATGTCGCAGATTCATTTATTTAATTTATACCCCAAAATGCATTCAAAAATCTCTTACAAGTGTGTTTTCTCCATTGGAACTATTCCAGAGCCTCATTCGATTATCTGTACCAACAGTGAGAAGGTGAAGCCCATCACTTGTAAAACATAAGCCATTAACTTTCCCATTATGAGCAGTGTTTGCTGCAATGAAAAATACAATTTAGTTCATCTGTTCTTGTATTTAGCACATATTTAATGTTTGATATAATTATTTAAACATATTAAAGGACAACTACTTGAGTTACTTAGAAAATGTAAGTTGATTATATTTAAAATTAACCAACCCGTCAGATTATTTGAATACAATAAGCTATATAAATCAGAACAATTAAAAAAGGGAAAAAAATTTCTGCCAAGTAGTTTTTTTTCCCAGTGAGGAAGCTGTGTCCTCGAATTCAATTAAACGTGTAGCTTAACACAAAAATTGGCAAACATTTTTCATCCCTCTTTATAACATTTCCATTTCTAATATATAAATCATTCAATGGATTATTAAAGTAAGTTATACTAGCGTTTTCCAGTAAAAAAAAAAAAAAAGGATAACTTCTTATCTCAATCAAAATTTATATAACTTTCAAAATGAACAAATTTGAGAAAACATAATTCTTAATAGCTTAATTTCAAAAGGATTACTAAAATAATCATAGATTTTATACAGTTCACCCTAACATATTTTTGGTCCACAATTAATTCTGAATCAAAATTTATCAAAGAAATTAAATTCTGTCATAAAAACATAATTTAGGTACTTTGTCATATGGACTGCAGCTGACTCACACTGAACACAATTGTATGCTGATACAATGGCCACAAAATGTTACTGCTTCTATAATTTGGTGGCTTCCTAAATGGCATTGAATTCTTAGAGTTGGCCTCATTGGAGCAAAAACAAAATCAGTATAGCAAGTTAATCCAGAAAAGTTTCTCTCTTTGAAAATTTGGGGGTAAATAAAACTGCCATATTTATTTGTGTCTTGAAGACAACCATAATTTAGTTTATGTAAATTTATAAAGTGATTTATAGTGAAGGCCCTTTTAAAAAAATCATGAAGTTTGCAATTTGTCAACATGTATTTATTCATATATTTGGCTTCAATTAAAAATTTCAATGTAAAAAATGCTATCATTGTCATATTTCTTCATTAATGCATTCTTCATTACCTGATTCAACAGCTTGTGACTTTTTCCCATTATGTTGATCAAGAGTCATCCAACAACCTGACGCTCTCCTCACATCCCATAATTTTACTCTACTGTCAGCACTGAGAAGAAATAAATATTACATTGGCTTACATAGTTAGGATACTGACTGACTGTACCCCTCACCCACCTTCCCAGGATTACGGCACACAGAGGCCTCATTATATCAGTGCAAATGTATTTGTACATTCGGGTTGTTGTACTTTTGCCTTTTCAGCATATATTCAATAGTAAACAGTAGTACAAAGAAGTGACCTTTCTTCTTCAGATTACAAGGACACAATTTTGCTGCTTTTTGTGTTGATTTTAATGATATAAAATTAGTTTATTATGAACATCCTTTCTCACAAGAACTAGACAGTTGTGACTTGTTCCTAGTAAGTCTGTTACTACATCTTTACTACTATTTGTTATTCAGACTGTAAAGACAATCAAGCAGTTAACTAATTTCACTTTGATTAAGAATCTATTTGGCATGAATTTGGTATTTTTTCTTTTAATACAAAAAATTAAGAATGAAGTGAATAAAGAGGATTGGTTTCCTTTACTCAAATCAATCTTTGCCAGATACACAGAATTACATTTAAAGTCTCCTAGAAATTAGACATTTATTTCCATTTTATTTCAAGTAAGCAAAAAAGAAAAAAGGCAAATCCATTATTATATGTCAATTTCAGCTTCCAGGCTATTCCTAAAGAAAAATGCCCAGCAATCTTATGTGCCCCTAATCAGTTCTACTGATGCTACCATGTCCTCACAAAGACCTCAACAATATTCTAATCCACTGGGTTTATTCATGCTATTTTAATAAGAGAGCATTACATTACATTTTTATAAGCCTATTTTTCATTTATAAATCTTTTCAAAATATACACACAGGGCTTATTGATTTCTATACCTTAATTCATTTCACAGACCAAACCTAGCTAACTGAGATAGTCAGCAAAAAGTTAGCATTTTCCATTCTTAAGTTGGTTTTCTTTATTTCCAGCAGAGGAAAATCTCTGTGATGAAATCAGTATGAGTACTTAACTTTCTTCTGAATGAGATTAGATTTAAACATATCCAGCTATTAACACTGATTACTAGGTCCATTCTGGTACTGATTCAAATTCCTGGGGTACTCTGATAATTGAAAACCTCTTAGCACCCCTTTGATGCAAGGAAAACCAAGTTAAGCATGAACAATGTAAATTCACCCCAGCATAACCAGCACCTAGCTCCTCACTTTCAAACCTCTTTAGTTATTCTTCATATATCTACATTCTAGACCTTGCTATAATTCAGAAATCATAAATCGCAACATCACATTCTGCAAATCATTTTATTTTATTGTTTTAGAGATGGGGTCTTGCTCTGTAATCCAGGTTAGAGTGCAATGGTATGATCATAGCTCACTGTAACCTGAGCTTTTGGGCTCAAGGGATCCTCCTGCCTCTCATCCCAAGTAGCTGGGACTACAGGCACATGCCACCACGCCCAGCTTATAGAAGTGTGTGTGTGTGTGTGTGTGTGTGTGTGTGTGTGTGTGTAGATAGGGTCTTTCTATGTTGTCTAGGCTGGTCTTGAACTGCTGGCTTCAAGGAATCCTCATTCTCCAAAAACAGGGATTACAGGCATGAGCCACTGTACCTGGCCCAAATTCTTAACAGAAGCTTCTTTAGAGACTAAATGGTGACAGAGAGGAAGGGCTGGCAGTTTTTTGTTTTTTTTTTAATCCACACACAGATATTTCTTCTACAAAAGCTTTATTAAGATAGTTATATCAAAACCTTTACCACTCCCTATTCCTTCCGTTTTTAACTTTTCTTGCTCTGATATTCGTACTTCTGCTTCATTAGGTCCTCGATCCCTGAGCTTCTATTCAGCTCCCTCTCCCATTCAACCTGTTACCCAGATCCTTACTACCTTCCCTCAAAATTGCATCCCTGTTCCTGTATTTTCAACAGATGATATCAAGTCCTTCTTCACTTAAAACCAATAGAAGTCAATAGGTTTGCATTTCTTGAGCTTCTTTATCAAAGCTACAAACTTAACTGTACCATATGTCTGCCTTTTCCTCTTTCCATTTAGTCACACAATGTCCTTCATATGTCAAATAAAGTGTCCAACTTCTTCTCCCCCTCACAATCGTGACTCTTGATACTACCCAAGGTCCTAATCCACCAATTATTCCATTTCTTGTCTTCACTCATTTCTCTGTACTGTTACTTTCTCCCCAGCAGCATATAAATATGCAATATTCTTCCCCCAACAAACAAACAAATCTCTCCAAATCTTCTGATTCTCTCAGAGTCAAGTGTTCCTACTTTCTTTTCCTAAATTACATCTACCAAAGATGTATCTTTATTAAAGTATTTTTTTCAGGATGGCCTGTAATCAGTTATTTTTCTGACTATATTCCTCATTAGACTACTAGTTTCTTAACGCCTTGGTTACCTCTGTGTCCCCAGCACAATGTTTGGCATATGACAGATAATCATTACATAGTAAGTTGAATCAATGAATGGATGGATGTGTTATATCAGCTTCAAATTAATTCTAGGTTGAAGCAAATTAATAAAAATGCTATTTTTAAGTTAACACAGTGCTATATTTTTGTGAGCAAAAATGACACAACAGAGTTGTTTTACTAGTAGTGCTTGTCTATTGGCATTACTTTATTGACTCTCCTGTTTTCTCTTTGTTCTAAAAGGGAAAATACCTTCAAGATGGATAATTAGGATTAGAAGTATGACACAAAGGAAGATTTCTTTTGGTGATATGAATTAAAATTTCTAACTCAGTATTTCATTTCAAGGAGCTAATTCATAACAAAATATACTAAACTATATATCTTACATAAATAAATGTAGCCTTTTAATATGCTTACTATTAATCACTAATATCAACTTCAAAACTAAGTAAGTTAAATTTTACCTTGCAGTTGCCAAGATATAGTCATAACGTGGTGACCAGGAAACTGCCAATATTTCTTGTCTGTGACCTGCAAATAACATTGTATGAAAAGTCTTGCAAAATATTTGAAAAATAAAAAGATGAAGGGCCAATAATTTTGCCTGATTCTGAAGAAAGTGAGACTAAATATTCAGTGAATAGATATGATCGTTTTTTTTTTTTCAGGAAAAAGTTTTTATTTTATACCATGATCATTCTTTTAAAGCAGGATTTATTAAGAGGACAGAAAAGCTCCCACAGTATGAAGGGACCCAAGGGGGTTGCCCCATTTTTTTTACATTTATAATAATCTATGTTTAGATGCCAATGTTAGGTCTGTGGGGGTATTTCTAACACATGGTATTTATTATAAAAGAATTGGTTTTGCTTTGGAAAGCACAGTCAGAGTAAGTGAGTATTTCTTTTTAAATACAGTTGTTAGCATATGGCCATCAATCAATATAGCTCAAGCTCAATCACTTATTTCTGCAACAAAAAGTTACTACAATAACACATATAAGATAAAGATTTTAAAAAATAGAAATTTTTTCTGATTTTTCATAAAGTTACAACAGAAAAAATTACTTTAATTCATGATTGCAAAAAAGCATTTGTATTTTTTTTCTAGAAAGCACAGGTGTTCAAAGGGTGACTTCAACATGTAATGCACTTTTACCTAACTGCGTTATTCAAATCAGACATTTTCATCTGCCCAGCTCATATTAGAACTTAATGTCAAAAAATGCTACCCATCTCACCAAGATTTCCTGATATAATTATTTGTTTCAGAGATTTTTAAAAATGTATACTTCTAAATTATATTTCATCTTTTCACTGCTTAGAATTAGACAATTTAATACTGATAAAAAGCAAAAATGATTTAAATTAATAGAACTTTACAAAGTATTGTTTCAATACCGTTTTCTAAGATATTTTTACTGATAAAAAATACACCTAAGCATTAAGAACAATGCTTACTTATCAGTCAGAACCATATTAAACAATGTGCATGAGATAAATACACTGATGTCTTAGTACTTTATTTTTTTAAATGTAGAACTAACACAGGTTTTGAGTTAGACCTTCTACTTTCCATATCCTTTGAGCTTCCCCTATGACCATTGTTCATATAAATGTTTCCTCAATAGTTCAGTTTTATAAGAATAATACACAAAAGGATCTTTATTTTCCTGTTGACTTTTAACAACTAGCACAAAATACATCAGTCATGTCACTTACAAAGAATGCATTGTTAATGTTTCTTTTTATTGAATGGTTGACTCAAAGTAGTAGTTGTTTGAAATATAAAAAAAAAATACCCTGTAGAATGTGAGAACAGGATCCAGACTTTAAGTCACAAAGTTGTACTTTGGGCCCTTTAGTACCGACTGCAAAAACAAAAACAAAAATAGTTTAAGATAATTTTATTATGAATCATCACCAAAAAGAAACAGACATCATTAGGAATCATGACCTCTTCACTGTATTCATGCAGAAATATAAAAATGTATGTTTATAATTAGAAAAATTATTTGAACTATACTTTAGTAGTAAGTGAACTCTACTATTGCATTATTTTTTTATTTGGAAACAATTACAGATTTGCAACAAGTTGCAAAGCTAGTATAGGGAGTTCTATATATCCTTCACCCAGGTTCCCCCAATGATAAAATGTTAGGTAACTAAAGCACAACATCATACTAGAAAATTTATACTGGTAAATGTTTGGATATAGTTCTATGCCATTTTATCATATCACATCACTTTATTTTAATAGCTTAGCTTTTTCAAGTTAACAATAGTTAAATAACAGAGTCACAGAAACTCTGAACACAGACTGCAGGGACCTCAAAGAACTTCGTGTCTAGCTCTTTTTTACAGCTGAAGCAGCTGACTGATGTCCAGAGGTAAAGACTCATGCAGTGTCACAGAAAAAATAAAATCACAGGGAGCAGATACCTGATACTAGAAAATTATTTTTTCTTCCTTATATAGGAAAATTTTTGTTGCAAAAGCTTTCATGTAAATGAATGGTTAACTAGAATCACAATCTTAAAGAAAAGAAGATAGTTTCCTTGTTTTGTTGTGTTAAACTGGAAAAGTTGCCAAATTTTGTTCATGTAAAATCTTTGAAACTTTGGTGGTTTAAAAGGAACTCCTTGGCATAGGAAATATGCTCTTAATCTTTGAATCTTAGCCATTAGCATACTGCCTGACTTGCACAATATCTGTTGAATTCAATATAAACAGTATCATATACTTTTTAAAAGAAAATGTGATCTTCAACTAGGTTAAAATGTCTATATTAAAGCTAACTAAATCTAAAAAGGGAGAATGTTTTCAATACAAGACAAGACAAAAGAATACACATACAAACCTGCTATCAAACAGTGCTTGGTGGCGACTGGAGACATATGATGACTATAAACTGTCTCCTCAAAATTAAACATATCTGCAGTCTGATAATAAAAAACATTTAACAAGTGTAAGTTTTAATTATAAAAACAAAGCAATACATTTTCTAGTTACTTTTCCCCATATTTTTAGCAATTTTTAAATTGACTGTTAGCAATTCAAATTAAACACAGGGATGTAATACCCCTCAAAATCTGACACTCTTAAATCCTATGTTATTTACAACATTCTTCTCCCTTCTGTGAGAAGAAATAATTTTTCCCTAAAAAATCCTAGAAATTAAGACAACCACCTGAATCACCAGCTTCCTCTTAACTCTGAGGGGAGTGATCTGGTTGATCTGGTTAACATTCTGTTTCTCAGTTCCATACAACCTCAGCTATTACACCCAGGACACTGTCACTAACTTGAATTGCTTCCCCTTTGAAATCATACATTTCAGTTATCTATGACCACAATCCTCTATGATTTTCAGTTTTTTTTTTCTTTCCCAACTACTCTCAAGAAGTTGGAATAAACTCTGGAATCCTTAACAGTTTCTTCTGTCTATTTCTTTTCCTCTGCAGCTTGGATTCCAAGGTCAATTGCCAGTATCTTCAACACCTTTGCCATTATTAAGATTATTTCTCAAGATAATCATTATTTGTAAAGACTTTAACCACAAATGACTCCAAATGTCTGGCTTCTCCGCACTTTGATCAGATTGATCTACAACAGAGGTTGGCAAGCTTTTTCTGTAGAGATAGTAAATACTTTAGGCTTTCAGGATCAACTACTCATCTTTGCCACCATAGTGTCAAAGTAGTCATAGACAAATGAGCATGTTTGTGTTCAAATAACACTTTATTTACAAAAAGGGGCCATGAGGCAGATTTACCCACAGCCCAGACTTGGCTAATCTCTCCTCCTCCCAGGTGAAGAAAATTTTATAAGGGAGACTGGTGTCCCTATAAAAGATCATTAATTTCATCTAAGTTTTCAGTAATGACTGCCTGTCCTACTATATTTCACTAGTTTTCTTCTCTGCAGTATTCTGCAGCTATATCAAACCTTCTCAGTCTCCAAAACATCCCCATTCAGTCGCAACAGGTGATCTGACCTATAATTTACAAAAGAAAATAGGAGGCACTCAGAATCCTCTTAGTGTCTTACCATCAAACCTATAAACACATTTGCTTCTACTTATCCTCTTTACTTCTTCACTCGCTATCATAGAAAAAGATTACTTTTTTTTGAGACAGGTTCTTGCTCTGACACCCCAGGCTGCAGTGGCATGATCTCAGCTTATTTGGAGCCTCAAACTCCTGGGCTCAAGTTCCTCCTGCCTCAACCTCTTAAGTAGCTGGGACTACAGGCATGCACCACTACATCTGGCTAATTTTTTTTATTTTTTGTAGAGCAAGGGTCTTGCTATGTTGCCCAGGCTGGTCTCAAACTCCTGGCCTCAAATGATCCTCCCATCAAGACTTTCCAAAGTGCTGGGATTATAGGCATGAGCCACCTCCCACTTCCTCATTTTTAATGTCAATCTCCCTGTTTGTTTTAAGATCCTCTTCAGCACTGTCAAAAATCTCACCCTATAGATGATCTCATAGTTATCTCTAACCTCTCTCCTTACTGGTTCTTCCCAAAAACACTAAAAGTTCAAGTCTCTTTCATTTTACTAGAACCCCTTTCCCTAAGACAAAACAAACAAAAAAGCCTTTTCATCCTACATGCTCCCTAATTAATCTTTCCTTCTCTTCAAATCCAAATGTTGACTATCTTCAATTTCTCAACTCCCATGTATTTTCCAACTCACTGCAATCTTATTTTTGTTTCTACTACTCTAATGCACTCTACTGTTCCAATATCACTAATAAGTGCTTATCTTACCTAATCTGTCTGTAGCAATCACACAGCTGACTACTCCATTTTCCTGAAAACAACCTCTTTTACTGGCTTCCATTATATCAAATACTATACTCCTGATTTTCCTCTTACGACCTTGACTACTTCTTCTCATTACCTTTTGCAGATTTTGTTGTTCCTTTTCTATCCTATCAATCTCAGTTTTGTTCTATGCACTCCTTTCTTCAACTGCCACCTATACTCTATGCGTTGAGTACCCCTCTTCCAAAATGCTTGGGATCAGAAGTATTTCAGATTATTTTAGATTTTGGAATATCTGCATTATACTTATGAGCTGAGCATCCCAAATCGAAACTCTGAAATCCAAAATTCCCCAAGAGCATTTCTTTTGAGTGTCATACTGGTGCTAAAAATTTTTGAAGTTTGGAGCATTTTGGATTCTTTAATTTGTGATACTCAACCTGTGGTGAAGCACAAATCTGTATTTTCAATGTAGGCCTCACTCCTGAATCCCAGATATATATTACTAAATTCCTGAATTACCTCCAATCAAATGTCTAATAAATCCATCAAACTTAAAAAATCGAAAATGGACCTCCTCTCTCCACCCTTTTCCTAGCTTAGTAAATAACAACATAATTCACCCCATTCCCAAGCTAGAGAATTTAGGAGTCATTCTTGATTTTTAAAAAAATAACAGCTTTAATAATTAACATAACATATAATTCACCCATTTAAAATGTGCACTTTGATGTCTTTTAGTATATTCAGAAGACATCACCAAAATAATCTTTAGAACATTCTTATCGTCCCTAAAGAAATCTCATACCCATTAGTGGTCACTCCCCATTTCTCCCCGCCCCCTGCCCTAGGCAACCACTAATAAACTTTCTGTTTCTATAGATTTGCAATTTCTTGACACTTCATATAGATGGAATTATACGTTAGTGGTGTTTTATAACAGAGTCTTTCATTTAGCATGTGTTCATGGTTCATTCATGTTGTATCATGTGTCAGTACTTCATCTCTTTTTTTGCTGAATAATAATCCATTGTAAGAATATACCACATATTGTTTCTACAATCATCAACTGACGAACAATTCAGATTCCACTTTTTGGCTATTATGAACAATGCTGCTATGAATATTTGTGTACCAATTTTTGTGTGAACATATGTTTCATGTTCTTAGTTACATACCCAGGAGTAGAGTTGCTTAGTCATATAGTAACTCTACATTAAACATTTTGAGGAACTATTTTCCAAAGCAGCTGTATCATTTTACATTCCCACTGGCAATTATAAGGTTTCTAATTTATCCATATCCCTGATAGCATTTATTATAGGTCTTTTTATTACAGCCATCCTAGTAGATGTAAAGTAGTATCTTATTGTGGTTTTTATTTGTATTTGTGATGGCCATTTAAACAATTTTTCACTCATTAATAGTTAATGAGTAATTTACAACACAAATTCATTATCTAATAGTTCTGTAGGTTAAAAGTTTCACAGTGGTATAATCAAAGTGGTGGCAGGGCTGCATTCATTTCTGGAGGCTCTGGGAGAGAATCCTTTTCTGTTTTGTTTTGTTTTTTTCCCCCAACTTCTAGAGACCACCCCTATTTCTTTGCTTTTAAACCCCTTCATCCATCTTCAAAACTAGCAATTTTATATTTCTTTGACCATTCATCCAGTCAAATTTCCCTCTGCCTCTATTCTTTTCCTTTCCACTTCTACTTTTAAGACCCTTGTGATTACACTGGGCCCACCAAGATAATCTCCCTATCTTGAGATCAGGTGATTAGCAACCTTAATTCTGCCTTGCCATGTAGCCTAACATATTCACGGGTTCCAGGGATTGGAACACAGACATTGAGGGAGTAGGCATTACTCTGCCCACTACAGGTTCCATTTACCTCCTATCTGTACCCATTCTTAGGGTATATCCTCCAGATGCCCTAAGAGACTGAGTTTGTTTCTAGGTGTCCTCCCACTTAACAAGTATTGCATGGCAATTTTTCTCTCCAGTACCCTGTGACTGGTGAAAACCCTGCTGTTTTTCAGATGTTTTCTGCTTCATTTTAGTCTATGGTCTTGCACACCTTGATCAGCAAATGCCTTATGTGGAAAACCAGTGCCAAGCGTCAGGCTGATTTCTCTGCAAATTTCTTCTGTGATCCTGACCCATTAATCTAGCTGTCTTGGCAGCCCCATACTCCAATTTCTTTCTCCCTAGCTCTGTGAAATTGACTGGTTCCACTCATTTCTCTGCCTCACAAAAGCTATGCAATGTCTGCATTTTTAGTCTCTTGCCCCACATCAAGAAATGACAAATGCCCAAAGGGAAAATGAGTTTGTGGAAAGTTGAATTCACTTCTATAAAATTTTCTTCTATCTAGAATTTGATCTAGAAGTCCTAGATTTCTTGGCAGTTTTCTAAAACCCTCAACTAGATTTGAGGTTTGGTTACAAGATACTCCACTATAGTCAGAAGTGAAAGCTCACGATATTCATTTAATTGTTAAAATATATTACCATTTTCAATAACATTTTAAATAAATACGCTTTATTATGAAAACAAATCCAAAATGATAAGCCTATTCTTTTGCAATATAGCAAGGTCAAAAAAGAAAACATTTTAGTTTCAGTTATTGGAAGTGCATTAAATTTATACTTATTTACATAGCACTGTTTGTTTTTCTGATTAAAATCATAGCTACACTTTGAGATTTTAATGGTTAGTAACATGTGGTCAGTTACACAGATCACTAGTCATCCATCCTTAAAGTATTTACTCAGCAGTTTCCAAACATAGTATTAGTAGTGTAGAAAACACAGTCCTTTCCTTGGGAAAGTAACAATCTAGTAAAACAGATAAGAAATACAGGTATGAAAATGACCAAAAAAAAATAGTATAAGAATGTGTTGAAATAGCTGGGCTCGGTGGCTCAGCCTATAATCCCACGCCTTGGAAGGCTGAGGTGAGTGGATTGCTTGAGCCCGCTGGTTCGAGACCTGCCTGGGCAACTTGGTGAAACCTCATCTCTACAACAAATCAAAAAAAAATTAGCCGGGTGTGGTAGCGTGCGCCTGTAGTTCCAGCTACTTGGAAGGCTGAGGCGGAAGGATCACCGGAGCCCAGTAGGTCGAGGCTGAGGTGGCCGGGAGCGGCCAGTACACTCCAGTCTGGGGCGACAGAGTGAGACTCCAACTCAAAAAAAAAAAAAAAAGAATGTGTTGAAATAACACAGAAAATAGTCCTATAAAGTTAAAATAAGAGAATGATTAATATGGAGTCCAGAAGCTAAAATCACTAGTTACACCATAGAACTAGAAGGAAACTTAGACATCATCTAGTCTTAATTTACAGCTGAAGAGACCTTTGCTAATAAATTAAATGACTATCTAAAGCAACAAATCTGATAAGTAACAGAATGGAACTAGAACTCAGGCTTTGCTTCTTGATTCAATGTAACTATAAAAGAGATGTGATCTTAGGATAAAGGAAAAGTTGCACCAGAAAAGAGGTGGGAGGTAGGAAATAAAACATAATCAAGACATGAGCAGCAGGCAAAAGGCAATCAATTTTGCTATAACAAAACATTTTCAAGTTAAAAAAAGGGAGAAACTAGGATTCAGGGTAATGGGGGGTGAAGTCATGGAGAACTTAGGCTGAGTTTAGACAATGGGAATCCCTAGAGACATGATGAAACTGCTTCATAATATGATTAATTCTGGGCAGAACTTAATGTAGAAAATACGAAAGGAAAGTAAGTCAGGGAAACCAGTTAGGAGTTTTGGCAGTCTGGCTGTGCAATGATGGCAAAATAAATAGAAAACATAAATATGAGAGAATGTAAGGGAAAAAAATGCTAAGATTTAAGGACCAAATGAGTATGAGGAGTACTCAAACTCAGTTTGGAACATGTTAAATTTGAAAGGATGACACTACAATTAAATAGAGAAGGCCTGTAGAAAGGTAGGAAAATATGGGAATAGAACTCAGGGAAAAGATTAGCACTAGAAATGTAAATTTGACCAAATATCATAGAAACTATTATCCACTGTCTACCTTTATAAGTTTCAATATTAATAATTTTTTTCCTTTAAGCTTTTAGATCAATCAGAGGTAAATCCAATTTTTTACCTTCGATCACTAGACCATAGTAGTTGTCCAAAAGGGATACTAGCAATAGCTAAGTTTTTGAGTATTTGTCATATGCTATACACTGAATGAGGCACTTTACATATAATTGACTTGTTTAATCCTTACAATCATTCTTTGGAGATAATCATTATTCCCATTTACACGGAGACACAGAAAGGTTAGAACATTTGCCCAATGCCATCCAGCTAGTCAGCAGCAATATGAGCTCAAACAGTGTAGTTCTCCTTAATCACTATACAGCTTTCACATCCGACATATATGACACCTTAGCAAATATCTAACATTAAATTGGTTTAGGGCTAAATTTTCCTTCATCCTACGAAGCAATGTGAAAAGGTTTTAATGTACTTACTTGTAATGTGTTTGTATCCCATACTTTAAGAGTTTTATCAAATGAGCTTGATGTGAACATGCCAGTGTCATGAGGATACCACTGTACAGTCTCCACACTGTATTTGTGAACCTCAGGATGGTTTCTACAAAACAGTAATCAAAATGTACAGATAACTGACTCAGGTGTTTCAAAAATGGTACTATATTTAGAAAAAAGTAGCAGTCTCAGGCAGGATGATATGAATGGCCAAACCTAGATCACATGCCTGTGTCCTAGCTATCTAGGAAAAGGGGATAGAGAATGTCCAGGTATCACTAGATTCAGGCTTCCACAGTGTGATACAGAGTTTTGTCTCCTAAGACTCATCATGTGGGAGACTTCCTATTTCTGTGCTAGTTATAGCCTGGAAAGATCAGCCTACTACACAGGATTTCTTCCACCTTCCATTCTTACTAGAAGAGACACCTATTTTGATTTTGGATCTGCTTTTCCTAAGTTTCACTCTATTTGCACTACCTTTCTTAGAGCTGTTAAATGCCTCACATACCTTCATAGTATTATACAATATTGCTTCTTATCAAGAAACATACTCTACAACCAAAGAATACAATTGGTGGAGTCCCATGAGACTCACATCATATGTAAGCCATCACTCACAGAAACATGACATTCTGAAAACTCACTTATAAGTTATATACTTTTGTGAGGGTGGTGTTCTGTCCTGAAGGATGTAGTTTATGCTCTGAACCAGTGATCAAAACAGTAGACATGTTACCAAACTGAATCTTGATTCAAATGGGCTGTTAAGAAACATTTATGAGACAATAAAAGAAATCTGAACATGGACTGGATATTTAATATAGGTAATTTTTGTGTATGTGAGATAACAGTACTCTCGTTATGCTATCTTTTAGAAACATAACTTAATAATTATGGATAAATATAAGGTCTGAGATTTGCTTCAAAATAATCCTGAGAAGTAGAGATGAAATAAGATTGATTACGACGGATAGTCACTGAAGCTGGAAGATAGGTACACAATTCATTATACTACTCTCTACTTTTGAATATGTTAGAAATTTCCAATAAAAAATAAAAGTTAACAGAAGACTACTGAACCCTCTGTAGACAGGACCATCATCATATTTTCAGATTCCTTACAGTGTAGGTTTGGGACAATGCAAGTTATGGTGCTAGTGGTGCTATCTAATGAAATGAGAACAGGAAGAACTGAAGTCTTAAATGCCAGCCCCGACCTTGAGATAGCTGCAAAAATACAAGAACTATAGCGCCTATTCATATTTCCTTTCTTTTTCCGTTATATAGATATTTACATAGTTTAACTCATTTTATCTTTCTTTTCTCTTAACTTCATTATTTTGTAAAGGTTAATTATACAATTGAGTCAAAAATTGCACAATACTGATATAGGATCATGTAAAACTAGTACAATAATGGACATTACCTTGAATGGGAGCCAGATGTGGTAGCTAAATACACTTAGCATTGCCACCTTTTGGAGAAGAGGATAATTGCTTTTTTGACTGTATGGTGGATACTTGCATTAGGTAGGTTAGATTTTTTTTTCCAAAAAAAGGGTAAATATGGGAAAATAGGTGTATATGGATGTTGGACAGTCAAATAGGTAGATTGTAGTGGACATGTGCCTTTTTCTTGGCTTATGAGCATTCAAACTTCTCCTATCTGGGGGAAATCGCCACGGTCACAGAAAGCAAGGGACTCCAGACATTCTCTTTTCCTCTCCCTTGGCAGCAAGGGCAAGGATATATGTCCTGGCCTTCACTGATCCTGCCTGAGACTCATCTTGAGCTAGTAATGCAAACCACAGGGAGAGTGGGCCATTAATCCAAGCTGTGGAGTTGAGGGTCTTTGTTACTAACATGTAGCACAACATAAACTAAATTGCTCCTGTGGAGTGACCTTGACTGAGTTCTCTATCCTAGCTTCTGTTGTTTTTTGCTCATTTTCTTTCTTTTTTTTTTTTTTGAGTTGGAGTCTCACTCTGTCGCCCAGACTGGAGTGCAGTGGCTGCTCCCGGCCACCGCAGCCTCGACCTGCTGGGCTCCGGCGATCCTTCCGCCTCAGCCTTCCGAGTAGCTGGAATTACAGGCATGCGCTACCTTCACCCGGCTGATTTTTTGATTTATTGTAGAGATGAGGTCCCGCTGCCCAGGCGGGTCTCAAACCCGCGGGCTCAGGCAATCCACTCACCTCAGCCTCCCAAAGGCACGGGATTACAGGCTGAGCCACCGAGCCCGGCCTTTGCTCATTTTCTAAGTCTGATTCTGTCATCTTCCTGATAGTTATATAAGATACCAAATATCCTTTCAACAAATTTCTGCTTTGGATAAGCAGAACTAATTTCTATTTGTTCCTAAGAATCTTGACTTCTACAGAGATTTTTTGCAGTAATATTAGTTTTAAATAAAACAAACTTTGTTAGTGATCGCAAATAAAAGCTCATTTATATTTTAAGTTTAAATTTTAAAACGGGACAAAATATTTTATTCTCTTACTGTATATGCTCTATTACTCTCATTCACATTAATAAGACTTTTGGTAGGACTCTTTTTAGTACTCAAGGACAAACACACAAAGTCTACTAACAATAAGTATCAGAAAATGGTCTAAGTGACATTACTTTAGTAATAGTCTTTATTAAAATTATTTTTCAAAATTAGATTGTAAACTCTTCAGATGTAAAAGTGCCATTATAACTCATTTTGTAAAGATGTCCACTATATGCTCATTTTTAAATTCAAAGGCACACTTTTAAAGATAGGGCTTGAATCCAAGAATAAAGCCATAGTAAAATAAAAGACACTAAGCATTTACTTATATTATGTACCAAAAAAACTAAATAACAGCCCCTCATAGACTAAGATGCAACAAATGGAATAAATGAAAATAATATTCTGCTGTATAATACAATAAAATTACTGTTAAAATGTTAGCTAGGAAAAGACAGTAATGAATTTAATTAATTAATTAATATGACTGCCTTATACTTTAGAATTTAGACTTTTTTTTTTTGGTGAGAGTGATCTAAGTCTCTAAAAAAGTTCCAGATAATTTGAGGTGATATCTTATTTTGTACTAAGTTTTCCTATAACTACATTACTTTTCATTACATAGTGGTTTTGCAGTTTTTCAACATGCTTTTTTAAAGATAATATTTCACTTAATCCTCACAGAAACTTTATAAGAATGATGGGCAAGTATAATTATCTCCAAGACAAAATGATTTGAAATTCAGAGAGATTAACTGACTTTCCCAAATCTGTATTTCCAATGTGAAGTGCCAGAGCCAAGAAATAAAAGCTCATTTATATTTTAAGTTTAAATTTTAAGCTTAACTAAGAAATCTCCTTACAAATATACCATGGCACTATTCTAGTGCTTTAGTAACAGCTTTAATTCAGAGTGGTTGTTGATATTACTGTTTACAGTTTTGCCTCTTAAAAGCATTTTCTCAGCACCCATTCTCTCTCTTGATTCAAAGGTCTGCTCCTTACCAGATCAGATACAGATGAGGAGAAAGAACTAAATGATCATTATGAAAAAACTACAACCACATCACAAAACATTTTATTAGAGACGTAAAAGTAATTCTCACAAGACTGGTAAGCTAGTCAATAATAATCATATAAGTCAAGACAAGTAGAGGCATATTTTATTTTTTGTTTTTTGTTTTTTTTTGAGTTGGAGTCTCACTCTGTTGCCCAGACTGGAGTGCAGTGGCCGCTCCCAGCCACCTCAGCCTCGACCTGCTGGGCTCCGGCGATCCTTCCGCTTCAGTCTTCCAAGTAGCTGGAACTACAGGCGCGCGCTACCACGCCCGGCTGATTTTTGATTTATTGTAGAGATGAAGTCTCGCCAAGTTGCCCAGGCGGGTCTCAAACCCGCGGGCTCAGGCAATCCACTCACCTCAGCCTCCCAAAGCACGGGATTACAGGCTGAGCCACTGAGCCCAGCTGAGGCATATTTTAAAGTAAGGCATTTTTTAGTAAGTAGAGAGACAAGAGGGGGTGTGTATGTTGTGTATTTGTATGTATGTGTTTGGTAAGGAATATCAGAATATTTATTATATCTAGCTTGCAATCTTTTTTACATTAATATAAATTGAAAATCTAATTTGTTTTATAATTAGCTGAAAGACTCATAAATGAAACTTATACTAAGTGGTACTAAAAACAATTTGTTACTGAGATGTGCTGTGTAGGTATAGAACAAAAAGGACATAATCAAATGTCTTTTAACAAACTTCTTTTGTTTTGGGGAAGTCACATGTTAAAAAAATCTACACCTATATTTTAGTTATTATTTTCAAGAAACCATCAAGGAATATCCATGTAAATATGTCATTTGAACAATTTGCTTGACCCATTCATATGACTGCTATTTTAATGTTCTGCATTTGATGCAAAAAATATTCAACTGCTTACAAATTCATAAATTACATTTTTAATACACACCTGCCAATGGAACACACGGCTTTACATGTGTAATAAGGTTGTCTGCTGGAGTTCTCAAGGTCATAAAGCACAATCACACCATCTGAACCACCTGATAACATGCTAGTAATAAAAAAGTTTACATTAATTTATCATTTTAGGTAGTCCATTTACTTATGATTGCAAATTTATATAAACTGACTTGCAAACACCCACATGTATTAAGACCATGAATAGAGTTAATCCTCATTAACACAGGCTTCAATTAACTAAAATTTGCTAACTTAATATTTATAGAAGAGTGAATATAGAAAAATTCAATCTGTGATCATTTAAAGTTTACTTTTATGATTCCAAAAGGGATGATAGAAACAAGATGGCAATAGATATTTTTTAAGAAAGTAAAATATTACATGCTTTTAAATGTCCTAATTATAGCTGTGCTAAATGAAAATGGAATTAGACAGACCAGCTATTACTGATACTAGCTCTCTGACCCTAGGAAAGTTACATTACCTCTCCAAGCCATTCAACATTTGTAAAAAAAAAGAGAGATATTTCCACCTAAATGTAAAATTGATATGATAATAAAAGTTAAGTGCAAAGTTCCTTTTACAACACCTGGCAAAAAACAGGGGATCAATAAATGCTAGATTTCTTCCCTCTCTTATGAATGCATTCGCTCAATTAATTCAACTTTAAGTAAACACCTACAATATGTTAGGCACTCTCTCAATTATGTCCAGGCTGGAGTACGGTAGCATGATTATGGCTTGTTGCAGCCTTGAGAAGCCTTACTTTTGAAAGCAAAAGAGGGAGCTAAAAATAAACAACATAATTTTTTGGAAACAACTATTTGTCTACCTTAACTGGTTTATTATATTGATATAAGCTGTAAGACTGTTTTATTCAAAAACTGCAAAAAATTTTCTAACACATGAAAGTAACATAAATATATACACTAAAGCTATATATGCTGACTAAATTCATTTGAAAAAATAACTTGCAAACATTATTCTTGGTACTTCATATACTTTGCTTTCTTTCTTAATTATATCTGTCTCTAAGACTGCTACTTGTACATTTTTGCATATTGTGCTTTTCAATAGAATCTTACTAATATTTTTCCTTAAAATAGCCTGAAATCATCTTTGAATGTGAAGTTGTTACCCCCTTTAATTGACTTTCTTGAAAGTCATAATATAATTTAGAAAATAACCATAGGTGGTGAGGTACATGGTAAATTTGGAGCATATTCTCAAAAATTGAGGATACTCTTGATTCTATTTTTTCATATTGAAATATGCACATATTTCAAATTAAACATTTTCACTGTTGCTGTCTTTTTACCTCTATTCAGAGTACTTTTCTTTGGCAATTTTTTTTTTTACAAGATAAAACTATTTTCAAACAAATCCTCTATTTTCTTGTTTTTTTTTTTGGATGCTACATTAAATTCAAACATTACAAAACCTTACACATTCTTAATTTTACTCCATTATTACACAAAATATAAGTTTAACCAATTAAAAATTCTTCACAAAGGTCCAAACAACGAGATCTCTCTAGATCATAATCCCCTCCTTCTCTCCTCAAAGTAACTCATTATCATCAATTTTGTAGTAATCACTCTCTTTTCTGTATAGTTCATAGTTCACCATCCAAGTGTTTACTCATACATACCAGCTATGATTTAAAATTTTTAAATATATTTTCTTTTATCTGTAGGTCCCTCTTCCCTTTCTTCCTCCCTCCCTCCTCTACTTTTTCCTGCTTTTGTAATTTATTTGTTGCAGAAACCAGATAATTTGTCCTGCAATTTCCAGTCTGAACTTTGGTGACTACAGTCATGTGGTATAATTTAAAATAATCTCTATCTGTTACTGTTCTCTCTATTGTGACATGATATTGGCAGCAAAAACAATACCCAGATGTACAAATTTATGTCTATATAAAGTATTGCTATTTGCTGATATTATTGTTCAACATCAATCCTTATGTTGCTGTCTCTCTAGTTATTCTAGTTGTAGTCTAATTTCATTCTATGGCAGGTTCCTAAGGAAGGACTACTGACAATATTCCCTGAATTCTTGTATGTTATTGACAATTCATCTGTCCTTTTTTTTTTGAGTTAGTCTCACTCTGTCGCCCAGACTGGAGCACAGTGGCCGCTCTCGGCCACTGCAGCCTCGACCTGCTGGGCTCCGGTGATCCTTCCGCCTCAGCCTTCCAAGTAGCTGGAACTATAGGCGCACGCTACCATGCCCGGCTGATTTTTGATTTATTGTAAAGATGAGGTCTTGCCAAGTTGCCCAGGCGGGCCTCGAACCCGCGGTCTCAGGCAATTCACTCACCTCAGGCTCCCAAGGCGCGGGATTACAGGTTGAGCCACTGAGCCCGGCTTCATCTGACCTTTTGTATTTGAAAATAAGTTTGGCTGAAAATAAAATCTCTGACTCTCATTTTATTTCCTTGGGGATCTTGGGTAAAAAATTCAGTTTCTTAGGACACAGAGCCCAAAGTTAAAGTCTAGTGACATTATGATGTTTTCTCCTTTACATAAAGTTTCAGATCTTATTTGTTCTAAGAAAGTTTTCTTGATTTATTGTTTTAATATTTATTGTTCTCTTACTTTGGTTTCTTCTTGGGGAACCCCTACAATACATAAGCTGGATCTTCTTTGCCTGTATTCTACATGTGCAACTACCTGTGAACCCTTTTCCTCTCTTCATTTCTTTTTGACTTTTAAAATCTTCCTCCTTTCCACTTTCTATTTCTGAGGCATCACCTCTCGTATTTATTCACTTGTATTCCTCATGCTTTAGCCTTCATTTCTGAATTATGTTTCTTTTATTTCTAATATTTTCTTGAGTTTGGTAATCTTATTTTCTTTTTTTTCCTCTTTAGAGACAGGGTCTTGCTCTATTGTTCAGGCTGGAGTGCAGTGGTATGATCATAGCTCACTGCATCCTCAACTCCTGGGCTGAAGCAATCCTCCTGCCTCAGCCTCCGGAGTGGCTAGGACTGCAGGCATGTGTACCAGCTAATTTTTAAATTCTGGTGTATTGCTGTGTTGTGTAGGCTGCTCTTGAACTCCTGGTCTCAAGCGATCTTCCTCCACCTTGGCCTCCCAAAACGCTGGGATTATGGGAGTGAGGCACCATGCCCAGCTCTGAGTTTTTCTAATTTCAATTTATAATAGTCTTTCATGTGTCTTTATGACTTTTAGCTAATTTTGAAATATCAGGTAAGAGTTCTTATTTGTTTTATAGATATATCTTTCTGGCATCACTTCATTATAGTGGCATTATTCTATTTCTTTTTCTTTTTTATTCTTGTAATAATATTGTATGGACTTTGACCTTAATCCTATTTTTTGCACATTTTTATATAAAATTGATTTTCTTAAATTTTTAGAATGAAGGCTTGACTTAGAATAATGCTTAAATTTTTATATTTAGAACATCCTCTTCTTCCCTTAAACATATTTTTTTGGGGGGAAGGTAAGATGTCCAAAATATGGCAGCTTGCTTCCAGGGACTTCCTGGTTCTGTTCACTTCCCAAATTTTATCTGGGACATCTTTTTACTTCGTTTCTATTGTCTCTGTATTGCTCAATTTGGATTTTACTTCAAGAAGCTTCCCCTTAATGTAGGGTTCTGTCCTGCAGGGAAGCTTTGACTGGTTAACTCTTTGGAGAGAGATTAGAGTCCAACTGTACTAACTCCTTCTGGTCTTATAGTGGACCACTTGAATTTACCTACAATTGTAGTGTGCCATCCTCTTCCAGTTTTAGCTGCTGTAGTCAGCCAACAGAGTGCACATATTAAGAGATATGATGGCTCGGCTTGGTGGCTCAGCCTGTAATCCCAGCACTTTGGGAGCGCGCGGGTTTGAGACTAGCCCGGGCAACTTAGCGAGATCTAGTCTCTGCGATAAATAAAAAATTAGCCAGGAATAGTAGCGTGTGCCTGTAGTTCTAGCTACTTGGAGGGCTGAGGCGGAAGGACTGCTGGAGCCCAGCAGGTTGATGCTGGGGTGGCCGTGAGTGTGCCACAGCACTCTAGCCTGGGCGACAGAGTGAGACTCCAACTCAAAAAACAAAGATGAAAAAAAAAAAGAGATGGCTTCATGTTTTTATATAGACAAGAGAAGCTGGTATTTAAAATGAGTGAAATTAATTTAGAAGTTATAAAAGAAAATTAAAGCTTCAGAGTGTTATCCAAATGTATCTCCTGCAGTTGTACCTATTAAAATGTAACTTTCAGATAGTCTTTGTAAAATAACTCCTAACTTTAAAAATAAATGCTTCGTTACTAGATTTGTGTATTCTGGTTGCCATTCTGGTTTTCAGTGATATCACTATACCTCTTATGGTGAATGGTAAATGTTAACAGGTATTTTAAGCAAGCTACAATATACACTGATTTTCTTAAGAAAAAAATCAATATTTAATTTCCTACTGAACATGTATTTTTCTTTTTTATTTCTCTCTTGCAAAATACAAGTCTGAGCAAACAGTGAAATAAATATGAGGGGAAATCCCCCCAAAACCCAGAATTTATTTATAAAAAATTGTATATATACTCTTACATTTTTAAACTTCAGTCACCTTCAAAGTATTCTCCATTTGATGTAATACACCTATCAAGATGCTTTTCTCAGCCGGGCTCAGTGGCTCAGCCTGTTATCCCGTGCCTTGGGAGGCTGAGGTGAGTGGATTGCCTGAGCCCGCAGGTTCGAGACCCGCCTGGGCAACTTGGCAAGACCTCATCTCTACAATAAATCAAAAAATCAGCTGGGCATGGTAGCGCGCACCTGTAGTTCCAGCTACTTGGAAGGCTGAGGCGGAAGGATCGCCGGAGCCCGGCAGGTCGAGGCTGAGGTGGCCGGGAGCGGCCACTGCACTCCAGTCTGGGCAACGCAGTGAGACTCCAACTCAAAAAAAAAAAGATGCTTTTTTCACTGCTCAGAACAGTTTTTGAACTTGTCAATTTTGATACCTTTTAGTGCTTTTGCCATTTTTTGTTTCACCTCTTCCACATTGGCAAAATGTTTCCCTTTGAGAACTTTTTTCATCTGGGTAAACAAAAAAAGTTGCTTGGGGTGAGATCGGGTGAATAGGGAGAGTGGGCCATGAGGGTTATGCCATTTTTTTGTCCAAAACTGCTGAACACTCAGCACGTTGTCATGGTGGAAGAACCAGTCACCTGTTTGCTACAACGTGGATGCTTCTTCACAAATCGTGATGCAATCTTCTCAAAACTTCCAGATAAAAACTTTGGTTGCCTATCTGATTCATAGGAACAAATTCTGAGGGTGCTGCAAGGGGCCTGCCCTCCAAAAGAAAATTCCAGTTTGTTTGTTTTTTTTCCGGCCCCCTCATAGTTGTAGATTTTTAGCACGCAATAAAGGAATGGCAAGCATCTTCAGCCTTTTCACTGTATACTCTACAAAAAGACTTCTTAATATGCATTTCCTAAATATTCTATGCACATATAACCCAAAATTTCCCAACAACTCTGCCAACTGGTAGTCTATAAAGTTCATATACTTCACAGGTCATGCAACAGACCACTACTCCAAATAGCTGGTTGGAGTAGCAGTATTGAATACTGTCCCCATCATTACCCAAGAAAAAAAAAAGGCAGCTATTTCTTGTTGCTCATGTCTGCATATATTACAAATGACTGCCCATAGCTGTCTTTGAACAGGAGGTGTTATGTTGAGCCTGGAAAAGCTCAGGAAAAAGAAAAGAATTATTGCTGGTCATCTTTTAGATATCGATAAGCTAAATGGAGAATTATGTTAACTACACTTTTCTCCCATACTATTAGGTGAGACTCAGGTAGAAGATGGAAGTTAAAAGTATAGGCTTATCAAAACCATCCTGGCTTAATTTAATGCAAATAATAATATTTTTGTATAAAATAAAAGTTCTGGGGCAAATGTTAAACATACTATAACCTGACAAACTGTTTTCTTTAGTTACTTTTACACATGGTCTATGGACAACACAAAGGGTTTGCACTTTATTTTTATACAGTATTGTGATGTCAGAATGAGTTGACAGTAGAATATGTTCAGATTTGCATTTTTCAAGGCACTTTTGCTACTGTGGGAAGAATGGACTGAAAGAAATAAAAGTATATGTAATACGGCTTTTGATTAACAGCAGCAACAGTGGTGGCAACCGTTTATTATGAGCTAGGTCTTATGCTATCATGTTATGCTTATTATTCTCAATTCTCATAACAAACTTGTTATAGGTATTATTGTTCCCATTAAATACCTAAGGCAACTAAGAATTAGAAAGGTCACAAAACTGTCACAAAGCTGCAAAGTGGTAAAGCCAAGAAGAACTCAAATACAAATATGGTTTGCTTCACACTTAATTTTCCAAAATAGTCTTTTGCCTTTTATATTTGTTTTCCCATTATACTCCTTGAGAGTAGCAACTATGTTTTAAAATAGCATCTAAAGACACACTCCAGTACTTAAAAGCCCTCTGCATACAAAAGAATGTTTGCTGATTTAACAATGAATATACTTATATTAATTTGGAAATGTGTATTTGGCAACATTTTACAGGTTTGATATTCTGTATTTATTTGTAATTAATGATGCCAGATTTTAAAAGGCTATAATATATAGGACTTTTACTAATTTTAATGTAACTTCTACATAACTAGTTTGAAAAAAGCAAGACTTAATTGCACCTCACTTGGAAAGAAAAATGATTAGATACGGATAATAAACTTACTATCGCCCTTCAACAGGTTCAATGTCAAGGGTGTTAACTCCACTGCTATGGATTCTTTCAACATCTCTGTCTTTGTTTAACTCCAGTCCCAAAACCCTTTAAGAAAAATATAAAAATTAAAAGGAGGAAGAAGAAAGAAAAATAAATTAACACAAGAAAGTAATTTAATATAAAAAACTTACTTTACCAAGCTTATATATAGTGCAAAAATGACAAGTAATGCTTAAAGCTTTTAGCATACATTCAAAAGTATCTACAAATTTTAAAAACCTTGTATAAAATTTTAAAATATCAACAGTAGTAACAATATATACAAAAATTTTCATATGAAACCTTAAGTTTCATTTAAAGAGGGTATTTTGCTAAGTTTTTAAAGAGACTGAAACAAATTTTTAGGACAAAGTTAAATTCTGATAACTTAAAGTTAACTGAGGACATCTAGTGGATAAGAACTTAAGTTACAGGATTTCAAAGAAATTTCCTAAACTCTTGAAGACAGGTGGAAATAAAAAATGAGAATGCTCAACTCAAAAATTAAGCATATTTCAATAAAGCCAATTAAATATCTATCAATACCAGTAATTAGCAAATACTCTTACAAAGTAAGGCAAATGACATTTCTGATATTCCATAACTGTAAATCATCTTGAAGATATTAAGATTAAATAAATTAAAACATAAAAGTGCTTATTACAATGTCTAGCACATTTTAAATATCTAGTAAATATTAACTATTAAAATATGGTTCAATCTGTTGGATGTTATTAGAGCTTACATTAATTTAAGCAGAATTATTTCTAAATTTGTTATTGATCAAAATGATGCTAGTCTAAACACTTTTGGCTTATCAAATTATTATAGCTTTTTTTTAGATGACAATGCACAGTGCTGGAAAAGGAGAAAGCTGATATTTTCATACACTGATAGTAGCACTACAAATAATTATGAGAGCATTTTTGAAATCATTTTTCAAAATCATCATTAAGTGTCTGATTTGAAAATTTGAAAATATACATGGTCCTTTGTCTTCTACAAACAGTTTAGCCTTAGGCTAAAATATCTAGTCTAACACTTATGAGTCATCTGACCTTAATCAATAACTGCAACAGCTAATATTAATGAGGAACCTATTACTCATTGACATTGTACTAGGGTGGAAACACTAAAATAAGTGGTAGTGGTTATATTATTAAATGCAATTTCTTGATTTTAAAATTAAGATATAAGTAATTTGCCCAAGATCACACAGCTAATATTTGGCTGAGTTGTACTTTAACTTTTTCTCTTTTTTTGAGTCAGGGTCTCACTCTTGCCCGGGCTGGAGTGCAGTGGCATGAGGTACTGCAGCCTCTAATTGTTGGGCTCAGGTGATCCTTCCGCCTCAGCCTTCCAAGCAGCTGGGGCTACAGATGTGTGCCATCATATCTGGCTAATCTTTTTGATTTACCGTAGAGACAAGATCTCATCATGTTGCCCAGGCTGGTCTTGAACTTCTGGGCTCACGTCATCCTCTCGCCTCAGCTTCCAAAAGTGTTGGGAATACAGGTGTGAGCCACTGTGCCCAGTCTGCACTTTAACGCTGACATTCTTTCTCTAGACCACTATGCTATGTTGCCATTTCTGAGTTTCAGTAGTTCATGAAACAGTAATTTTTTTTCATTGCCATTTCTTCTTAAAATATTTTTCTATTGGATGATTTTTCAAATTACAGCAGAATAAGTGCTGCTTGGAACAAGTAAAACTATATCACACAAATACATGCAAAGGTAATTATCCTTTTCTTGAGCTCCCATTACTATTATATATTTAATTCTCTCATCATTCCGAATTGCAGGTAACCAATTCCATCTCCACTATCCCTCTCCCCACCAACAACGGTGTGCTCACCAGGCTTGGGCTCTGATTTCTGCCTCTCTCAAAATCCCTTATCACCTGAGTTTGTCTGTCCCCAAGCTTAGAATACCGGCTTAGTAACAACCCAGGAAATTGACTCTGTCATAAGAAAAACAAGAAAAAAAAAAGAACACCTGCTCAGGCTCTGAAATCCCACTCGAATCTGAGTGAGGAGGCCTACCTCTTCCTAACATAGCAGGCCTGAGACTGCTACTCCTAGAAAGGCCTGCTTGCAAGACGGGTCCTTGGAGGGAGTCTAGGATATCAGGAAGGTTCCTGCCCTGAGTAAGAATGGCTCACTGTGCCTAAACTATTTGAGTAACAGCTTTACGATGAATACCTGCTTTCCTAATGGGAGTCTAGAATTTTGGTGTGTGCTAGGCAGAGGGTGTCTATGTGACCGGACCCCAGTAAAAAGCTCCAACACTGATTCTCTAACGAGCTTCTCTGATCAACATTTCACATATGTTGTAACAATTCATTGCTAAAGGTAGAAAGTATGTCTTCTGTGACTCCGTCAGGAGAGGACTCTTGGAGGCTTGTGCGTGGTTTCCTCCACACTTGGTCCATGAGCCTTTTCCCTTTGCTGATTTACCTTGTATCCTTTCACTGTAATAAACCATTGTCATGAGTAATTGCATAGGCCTCCTCACTCAGATTAGGTTGGTCCAAGTTGTTAGTCCTTCTAGAGAAACATCAAACCTGGGGATGATCTCGAGGACTCTTCACAATGGCAAGTAGCAGGAAAATAAAAGGAGAAAGGAGTAGAGGGAAAGGAAAAGAAAGAATGGAGGAAGAGACAGGCAGTCGTGGACAAGGTGAAGGAGGAAGGGTGAAAGAAAAAGAGAGAAGAGGCAAGACAGTGGAGATTGGGATAGAAGATACGTTTCATTATTTAGAAGGTACTTGCGACCTTAGAAGGTTGAGAGATGGTAATCAAAACTGTGTCCAGACACCTGCAGCCCACCCCCTCTTAGCTCATAGAAAGTGAAGAATCAAAACTCGTGACCAGATGCCTGTAGCCTGCCACTTTTAGCGCAAGGTTTGCTCAGTCATGGTTGTAAAAATATATAAAGCTTCTTGTCAAAGGCAAGCACACGTTCTTACTCTTAAGGTACCCAGAACATTTCATTTCTGGGTAATACAACTATAAAAACTAAACTAAATGCATGGAACAACTACCTGAGGACTCTGACAAGTAAATATTAACAGGTGGATTAGAGGAAAACACCAAAATATCACTGAACCAGTGGTCAGTTTATCTATCTATTTATTTATTTATTTATATTATAAAGATGTGGGGAACAATTCAGGGTTAGGTATACAAATGTTGATTATGCAGGTACCCTTGTTAATGAGGTATGCCCCTCCCTCCACTAGCAGTTTCCCTCAACTGCCAATCCTACCCTCCCTCCCCTGAAAGTTTCCCACTACTGCCAATCCCTTTCTTATAATATTATAATTATTCGAGGCCCACTTATGAGTAAGAACATATGGTACTCTGTTCTTTGTTTCTGATAGATCACTGAGTATGATCAACTCTAAATCCATCCAAGTTAATGTGAAGTCCAATGTTTGTCCTTCTTTATGGCTGCATAATATTCCATTGTGTATATGTACCACATTTTTTGATCCAGTCCAGTTCCATGTTTTTGCTATTGTGAATAGAGCTGCAACAAACATACATGTGCAGGTATCTTTTTTGTAGAATGATTTAAGTTCCTCCAGGTATATTCCCAATAGGGGAACTGCTGGGTCATATGGAAGGTCAATTTCTAGTTCTTTCAGAATTCGCCACACTGTCTTCCAAAGAGGTTGCACTAGTTTGCATTCCCACCAGCAGTGTAGAAGTGTTCCTTTTTCTTCACATCCTGGCCAGCATCTATTGTTGTTTATTATGTTAATGATGGCCATTCTTACCGGGGGTTAGGTGGTATCTCAGTGTGGTTTTGATTTGCATTTCTCTGATGATGAGCAAGGCTGAGCACTTTTTCATGTGTCTGTTGACTGCCCAAATATCTTCTTTTGAGAGTGTCTATTCATGTCTTTTGCCCACTTTGTAATGGGGCTGTTTGGTTTTCTTCCTTTCAGTGTTTGAGTTCCTTGTAGATCCTAGATGTTAGGACTTTGTCAGATATTTAGTAGGCGAATATTTTTTCCCATTCTGTGGGCTGTCTCTCCTTGCTCCCTTGATGGTTTCCTTTGCTTTGCAGAAGCTCGTTAGTTTGGTGAGATCCCATTTGTCTATCTTATTTCTTAAGGTATGGGCATTTAGGGTTCTGAATAGGAATGGGTTGCCAGTTCCAATTTCCATAAGGGTGTCTCCTGCGTTTTCTAAGATTCTTATAGTTTGAGGTTTTACTTTAGATCTTTCATCCACTTAGAGTTAATTTTTGTGTATGGTGACAGGTAGGAGTCCTGTTTCAATCTTCTGCATGTGGTCAGCCAGTTTCCCCTGCAAGTGGTCAGTTTATATTTCCCTCCTCTACTGCTCTCTGGCCTGAATTTAATTCAGGGGATATCACGAAGCGAGCATGAGCACCTGATACAGAGAGAGTTCAGGAGGAAAAAAGGGAACTCCAACACTCAGGGAGACTATAGGGAATTGCCCAGCCCCCAGGCAATTCCATGACAGAGATGGCTATGGCCAGAAACAGTGGCCTGCAAGCGCTAGAACTCTGAGGGAGGGAAATGGTTTTCTCGTCAGAGTTCTGATCCCATGAGTGTAAGGCCTATCCCCATTGCTTTCTACCAGTCATTTTACTTCTGAGCACAGCCTTGGGCCTAAATATGAAAGTATGTGGCAGAACAGGGTAGCTAGAGCCAAGTTTCTGGCTGGAGGGCCAAAACAGAGAGCCCCAGAGAACTGAGAAGAATCTGGGAGATCACAGAGATGAAGAAGTTCAGGAAAGTAACCTCATCAAGTTGTTTATAAACTCCAGGGCTCATCCCTGAATGGAAAATGCATGGATCTAACCCTGACTAGCATACAAAGAATTGTGAAAACTGAACTAACCTCACAAGTCACAAACTAACCACTGAGAGACACACAATTAGGGCAGATTTGAAGGGCTTTGAAAACTGAACTGATATTGAAACCATAGTCTATTATAAGAAGGTAGAAACTTGCTACCCGAACATAATCTTGTTAATTGCCTGTTATGACAAAAATAACATTCTTCACAGGATTAAAACAAGATTCAGAGTTTCATAAGAGTATTCAACATGTCTAGGATGCGATCCAAAATTATCATGCATATGAAGATCCATGAAAATTTCAACTTCCATGATAAAAGACAATTAACAGAAGTCAAAGCTGAGATGATAAAGACTTCAAGGTAGCCATTATAAAATGCTTGAGCAAGCAATTGTGAACACGCTTGAAACAAATGGTAAAGTAGAAAGTCTCAGCAAAGAAATAGGAGATATAACTAAGAATAGAATGGAAATTTTGTAACTTTTCAATATAAAATTATTTTAACTTAATGGAATCACTAGCAGATTGGAGATGATAGAGGAAAAACGTCAGTGAACTTGAAGATAGATCAAATAAAATTATAAAATTTAACAACACAGAGGAAAAAAGATGGGGGATAAAAAGAACAGAGTCTTAGGGACTAGAGGAACAGTTATAAAAGAACTAACATCTTGACTGCAGATTCCTTTTTATGAAGCCATCAGACTGCTCTAAAAGAAATGATAAACAATGTTCTTCAGAGAGAACAGAAATGATAAAAGGAAACTTGAGACACCAGGAATAAAGTGAGAACAACAGAAATGATAAATACCGGAGGAAATAAAATAGACTACTTTTTTCATTAAAATGTTTGATCACAGAAAAAATTATAACATTGTCTGATGAGATTTATAATGTATATAAATGTAACATATAAGACAACAACATATATGTTGGCGGGCAAAGGGTGAAAAAGTTTCTATATGCCAAGTAAAGCAGTAACATAATGATTTTAAGTAGACAATGAACATTATGTGTTTTATAATTCCTAGAGCAACGACTAAAAAAGATTATTTTAAAAGATATGGTTAAAATGATAATACATAAATAAAATGCAATACTAAATAATGTTCAACTACTCAAATGAAAACAGGAAAGGGGAAACAAAAGACACGGAGCAACTGCCACTATTATCTACTGGTGGTGAGTATGAATGCTTTTGGAAAATTGTTAGTTCTTAAAAAGTGAAATATATCTAGTCATTCCACTGCTAGATATTAACCTACAGGTAAGAGCATATGTTCATACAAAGACTCATACGTGAATTTTCATGGAGCTTTATATACGTATGCAATAGTCGAAACCTGGAAACAACTCAAATGTCCATCAACAAGTGAGTAGAAAAACAAATTTGGGTATAGCCACACAGTGGGATACTCCACAACAATAAAAAGAAATTGATATATGCAATAATGAAGAAATTTCAAAATACTGTGATATGCTAAGTAAAAGAAGTCAAACAAAAATGGTTCTATTTACATAAAATTCTGAATAAGAAAACTTATCTATAGTGACCTAAGCAGATGTGTGGTTTCTAGACTAGGAAGAGGGTAAAGCAAAGAAAGGAGGGAGGGGGAGATTACAAAGGGTCATGATAAAATTTTCAGGGTTATGAATGTTTGTTCTCTTGATTTTTCTTTTACATACAAGGACAATTTTAATCCTGAATTTTCCTGCAGTGACATCCGTTGATGGCTATCTATGGATTAAAACCACATTTGCCAAGGGCTGTGAACATTAAGAAACTTTACATTAAGTCACATGTGTTGAAATAGACACACAGGCAACTTCCAGCACTAACAGAACACACCCATAATAAATACCAAGTGGTCTTGATGGATAAATTTACCTCATCAGGTAATTCTACAGAGGTGCCAAAAAAATGTGTACACATTTTAAGAAAGACTTTTCTGTATTATAATTGTAATACTCAATATATACCAATAACAAAAGACGAATACAAGTAACAAGTCATTTGATTAGCATCATCTTTTGAGCAAATGTCATACTACACATGGCTACTGTAAGTCAATTCAACTTTGAAAAGTAGATAACATCTCTTAAAATGTATATACATTTTTTGGACACCCCCTAGTAGTTAGTAAAACCAACAGTTAATACAGAATTTCATTTTTTAATTTTATATATTTATCACACATTTTCCTAAGACTCTATTTTAAAAACATTCTTTCAAGATTCTTCTAAATTTCCCTAGCAATTCAAAATACCAGTCTCCTTTTCAACCTGTAGCACCTGACTTAAAACTTAAATTCATTAATTTTAATGCATTAATTTTAAATGCATTCATTAAAACTGTCGAGAAAGACATGTTTCAATTGCTATTTCCCAAACAATACACTGAGTATGGGTATATGTTACTTTTAATTGGTTAGCAAAATTTTACTCACATAATTTATAGCCAGAGCAAGAACTCCCAGCATCTCTGAATGGTCTTCCACTCAAAACAATAATAACGAATGTCTAAAATGGATCAAGAGTAAATGAAGGAATCCTTGGAGGACAGTTATTCCCTAGGGGAATTAAAATGAGGGAGAAGAAATAGAGGAAAGCGAAAAAGTACTCTTGTTTAGGTTTACAGTGTCTTCACCTCAGTCCGCAGGCGCACTCACACACCAGCAGGTTGTCAACAACACATCAAAGAGCAAACGACATGTATCACAGAATATAAAACAATGAAGTATATAAAACACAATATAACAATACATAAAAGTCATGCTATTTGGATAAGCCACACAGCAGGAGAGCAAATACGAGTTTGGAGGCAGCAAATTGATGAGACGGGAAAGTGTGGGGTAAGAGTTAACAGCCATTGGTCAGGATTCTAACAGGCCTATCCGAGAAAAAAAAAGCAAGGTTTTCCTTTACCTCCGTGTGGACTCTGCTCTCCGGAGGTGAAGAGGATCTTCCAAACCAGTTTGTCGCGCGGACAGAAACCCCAGCATCGTCGCGTTCTCTCAGACCGGCTCGAGCACCGGACGCCGCCATGACAGAGCTCGGAGGCGGGGCTGGACTAGCAGAGACTCCCATTGGCCAAGCGGCGATCGATCCGACCAATGGCGGACGCTGTTACTGGCAGGGCGCGGGGCTGGAAGCGGATTGGACTCTCAGTGCGGGGGGCCGACTCGGTTGCTGGGAGAGTTCCTCCTGCCGCCGCTGATCCGGCTGCGAGAAGGGCCGGGTGGCGGACGACGGCATGGGTTGGTCTCAGGATGTGTTCCGCGCCTTGTGGAGATCGTTGTCGAAGGAAGTGAAGCAGCACGTGGGCACAGACCAGTTGGGCAACAAATACTACTACGTCCCGGAGTACCAGAACTGGAGAGGTGAGGTGAGAGCGAGGTCAGCGGTTGCGTGGTCGGTAAACGAGGGACAGGTGAGAGCGCCTGGTCAGCGAACACACCGTGCGACACTTGGGCGGCACCGGGGGGGCTATCCCGAGGTGGTGGGCCCCGCCTCCCCCCTCCCGCCACGCTGGGGTCGGAGCCCTTCCCGGCTTGGCTCCTTCGGGGGCCCGGCCTGGCGCGTCCGCGGGCCCGGGGACCCAGGGCCTTCCCCTGCTGCGCCCACGGCGGCCCGGGCGAGCCAGGCGCACGCCCCTGCCCTCCCAGCCTCGCTGGTGGAGTCAACCGGGGGGAATGTCTTCGGAGATCAGAGGGGTTGGGGCGGAGCAGGGAAGGGGTTTTTGGTGCGTCCGTGTCCCCTTGCGACCCACAGCTGAGTGGTGTAATTTGAAGAGGGGGATCTTCAGCACACCTCGGCTTTCCCGGTTCTTGGTGTGTTGGCTGTTTTTCCGTGGCACGTTGGACTCAGGCGCTGGCCTCGTGCGTCACGTGCCCCACCCCTAAACTTGTCCGAAGTCGGTCCCTGCGCCCTGACGACGTGGAAAAGAGATCCCCACGAAGCTTTCTGTTTCCTTTCTCGGCAGTTTACATTCCAAGACCCCGCTGAGCTCAATTTTAGAAACGCGGCTTCTAATCGTGGTGTGTCTGTTATAGGACTCGTGCCAAGTATTGGAGTGGGTGGTTTGGGGCGTAAGGAGGCTTTCCTGTCTATTGAAATTACACCAGGTACCAGCCGTCATAACCTCTACTGTGTTGTTCCATCACTGCAGGCAGGAGATGTCAGGCTTTGGACGAAGATAGGCGTGAATTAGAAGCTCATCTCTGACACCTAATAGCTAGGGGATCACGGATAAAGTAATTGTCCTCCCCAGGTTTCGGTATCCTGACTTGAAAATTGGAGATAATATAAGAACGGTAATAGTGAGACGCACTGAGACCTTTCCAAAATTGTGTCAGTTCATTTCTCACACGCATTTTATTACTGTACTCTCATTTATCACTCAAGTTTATTTTGCCTAATCTTTTTCTGTAACTAATTTTAATATTTTAGTCTTGTTTCCCTAATGAGCTTCTAAACTCTGTCAGTGCAGGGAGTATGTCTAAAAAAAAAAAAAAAAAAAGCAACAGCCTGCAACAGATTGCAAGCAAAAAGATGTTTCTTTTCCATAAGTTGTCAGTAGCATTAAAAAATGCAAAATGTCAGACTGTCAGACTGAGTTTTTTTAATGGAAGTGTAATTTGCATACCGTAACATTCATCCTTTTGGTGTATTGTTACATGGTTTTTGACAAATGAGTAAAGTTGTGTAACTGAGATCAAGTTGATAGAATAGTTCCATCAGCTTCAGAATCCCTTCTGACCCCTGAGTAGTTCATTCCTACACCCCATCTCTAACCCTTGGAAACTGCTGCTGTGTTTTATGTACCTACAATTTTGCCTTTACTAGAATATCATGTAAATAAAATTAGACAGGATGTAGACTTTTAAATCTGGCTTATTTCACATAGTTGAGATTCATCCATGTGTCAAGTAGTTGTCCTTTTTTATTACTCAATAGTATCACATTGTATAGATTTACCACTTTATTCATCAACTGAAGGTCATTTAGGTTGTTTCCAGTTTTTGGTTTTGATTGAAATCTCTACAAACAGTCCCATACAGGATTTTGTGTGGACATAAGTTTTCATTTCTCTTTGGTTAATACCTAATAATGGGGTTGCTGGGTTGTGTGATAAATATATGTTTAACTTTATCAGAAACTTCCAAACCGTTTTTCAAAGTGGCTGTATCATTTTCTCTTCCTGCCAGCTATGAATTAATATTTTTTCATATCCTCATCAGCACTTAGTATTGTGTGATTTTTTTTCCATTCTGATAGATATATAGTGATATTTCATTGTGATTTTAAGTTACGTTTTCTTAATGACTGAAGATGTTGACAATCTTTTCATGTGCTTATCTGCCTTATTACCATAGATCTTTGGTGAAGTATCTGTTCAAACATTTTGCCCATTAAAATATATATTTATATCTATTTTTTATAACATTCATTTCCATGTAAATACACTATCATTAAAGGTTCAAATTAACAAAATCATGTCTATCACACAATAACATGAACATATTTATTTTTACATATTCTCAGTCATTCATTTGTGTGAACATTCTCTTACATAATTGTAATTACGTTTTTGAGAGTTTTATTGAGATATAATTGACATACAAAAAAAATTGCCAAAGTTTAAAATGTATAATTTGATAAGTTTTGACATATATATAATCTATGAAACCATCAACACAATCAAGATAATTAACATATCCATCATCCACAAAACTTTTTTTGTGTCCCTCGCCTTATGCTGCTTCTGCCACTCATCTGATTTCTGAAACTACATTAGTTTACATTTTTTAGAATTTTATATAAATGGAAGCATCTAATATGTATTCTCTTTTCAGCATAATGATTTTGAGATTCATGCATGTTTTGTGTTTATCTATAGTTTACTATTCCTTTTTATTGCGGAGTAACATTCCATTATATGGATATACCGTGATTTGTTTATTCATTCCCCCGTTCAGAGTTATTTGGGTTGCTTCCAGTCTGGGGCCATTACAAACAAATTAATGAAATTCATGTGTAAGTTTTTGTATGGACATATACTTTCGATTTTCTTGATTAAATATCTAGAAATGGAATGGCTTGGTCAACTGGTAGGAATGTGTTTAACTTTTTAAGAAACTGCTAGAGTGGTAGTGACATTTTATATTCCCACCAGCAGTGTGTGAGAGTTCCAGTTGTTTAAGATCCTCACCAACTCTTAATATGACCAGTCTTAAATTTTAGCCATTCGAGTAGGTGCATTGTGGTATCTCATTTTTTCTTCAGTTTTCTTTTTGCTATTAGTGAGTTTTTTTAGGTTTTACTTTAAAATTAAAATGCAGCAAAATTAGCTTTTAAATTGGTGTGCGGTTCTATAAATTTTTAACACATGTAAAAAATGCAAGTAACCACCACCAAAATCAGGATACAGAGCAGTTCTATTACTCTAAATAACTACTTCATGCTAAACCTTTGTAGACACACTCTCCTCATTCCTAACCTCAGCAACCATTGATTTGTTCTTTGCCATTTTAATTTTGTTTTTTTAAGACCATCACACACCTAGAATCATATCATATGCAACCTCTTGAAACTGGCTTTTTCTACTCAGCATGATGCCTTTGCGATTCATTACATGTATCAATAACTTGTTCCTTTTTATTGCTGACTAATATTATATGTTATAGTTGTCCTTGTTTGTCCATTTACCCATTGAAAGACATTTGAAGCCGGGCTCGGTGGCTCAGCCTGTAATCCTGCGCCTTTGGGAGGCTGAGGTGAGTGGATTGCCTGAGCCCGTGGGTTCGAGACCCGCCTGGGCAGCGAGACCTCATCTCTACAGTAAATAAAAAAATCAGCCGGGCGTGATAGCGCACGTCTGTAATTCCAGCCACTTGGAAGGCTGAGGCGGAAGGATCACTGGAGCACAGCAGGTCGAGACGCAGTGTCCGGGAGCGGCCACTGCACTCCAGTCTGGGTGACAGAGTGAGACTCCAACTCAAAAAAAAAAAAAAAAAAAAAAGACATTTGAGCTGCTTCCAGTTTTTGGTAATTATGAATAGAGCTGCAAGAAACATTCACATATAAGTTTTGTTTGAACATAAGTTTTCATTTTCTAGAAATACTTACCTAAGAGTATGAGTGCTGGGTCCTAGCAGCTCCAGCTTATTCTATAGTATGGAAATAACAATACCTACCTAGCCTCAAAAGATATTTTTACTACCCAAGAAAAACAAATGGGATAATGTAGCATTTAAGAGAATAGAATTTAATGTCAACATCTATTTGAGTTAATTTTTGAAGACCTTCTACTTGGTTTTTCTTTGATTTCTTTTATCAGTGATTTGTAGTTTTCAGCATAGAGATCATACATGTGTTTTGTTACATTTAATCTGAAGTATATTATTTTGTGCGGTATTATTATAAATGACTTTTTAAAAAATATCTTAATTCCCAGTCCTTCATTACTAATATATAGAAAAATGTGTGGTTTTTCTATGTGTTCTACAACCTGTTTTACTCACTTATTCTTGAAGCCTTTTGTAGATCCTATGGACATTCTATGTAGGTAAGTATATCAACTGCAGACAGAGACAGTTTTGGTTTTTTTTTTCTTTCCAACTTATTTGTCATTTATTTCCTTCTCTTGCCTGGTTGCACTGGATGAGACTTTCAGTATTATGGGTTATTTGTTGTTGTTGTTGATTGCTTGTTTGTTTTGAGTCAGAGTCTCAGTCTGTCACCCAGACTGGAATGTAAGGCAATGATAGCCGGCTCACTGCAGCTTCAGACTCCTGGGCTCAAGTGATCCTCCCGTGTAGCTGGCTAGTTTTTTAATTTTTTTGTAGAGAGTCGGTCTCACTTTGTTGTCTAGGCTGGTCTCAAACTCCTGGGCTCAACCAGTCCTCCTGCATCAACCTCCCAAAGTGCTGGAATTACAGGTGTGAGAGCCACCACACCTGGTCAGCATTATGTTGAATAAGTGTGGTAAGCATAGATATATTTGCCTTGTTCTCCGTTTTAGGAGAAAAATATTTAGTCTTTCATTGTTAAGTATGGTGTTGGGTATAATTTTTTTTTTTAGATGCCCTTTATAAGGTTAACAAAAGTTCCCTACTGTTCCTAATTTGCTGAGAGGTGTGTGTGAATGAATATTAATTTTGTCATATATTTGTTTGCTCCTTTTTTTTACTTCTGTTGAGATGATCTTTGGTGAATTATATTGATTGACTTTTAAAAAATTAATAGACTATTTTTAAAACAGTTTAAGGTTTACAGAAAAATTGAGTGGAAACTATTTAGATATACCCTATCCCCTCATTCCACAGCAGTTTCTCCTATTATTGATATCTGGCATTAATGTTCCCTTTCTTTCTCCCTC